TATCAGCCCTAACGGTTTTCATCGTCGTATATTCAGAATTTCAGGCCCTCCACCGACAGCCGCGTGGCCGCTTATGAGTATCCGAAGGAGCCACTAATCCTGAGACTGGGACTGGTGAAAATTTTCATACTAGCCCTGATACCGTTGCACCCACCTTCTGCTACTGTTGCAGTACTTTGTCTGCAGAGGAAATCTCCGTTCAAGCCGTTGCTGGAAACGTTTCAGGGTCATTGCCGATGTTACTGTGCTGCGTTGCATACTAGTGTTCCAGATACGGAAACTGAATGCAGGTTTGATCCTTCGCCAACGGCATTGTCACTTTGTCCTCGAAAACGACAAAACCCACCACCCCTGCTCATTTAACAATCACATTCCATATAAAACTAATTTCAGGAGGGAGTCAGGATGTTCAACGAAAGGACCGCTAACCTCGCCTCAAAGCTTATGCTTCCAAATAACTCAAGAATGGACCCAACTTATGAACTGGAATGTGAGGGCAAAAACGGCTGCTCACGATTTTTCATCGCCGTAACTGAATTCCACACTGGCCTAGATTTTATTTGCGTTGTCGCGTGATCAGATATGGAACGTCATGCGCCATGCCTGAATAAGCTCTAAAAGCCTTTCTTGATCTAGTAGATAAATGGGAGACAGCGATCAATCATTCCGTAATAGGTACAAAAGCTACAAATCAGGCATTTGTATGTTACCTAGGAGATTTGAGGCACAAGTTGAGGCATCGACTTCGATTATCAACGATTGTCCAAATCCGGCAGCTACCTTGCTGAACACATTAAACCGGACAATGCTGTACAAACCATCGGCACGACAGCTAATCAAGCAATTATTGCCTGAGCCATGTAATCTGAGAATCCAAATGTTGTCAAGGGTATGGTGCTGTCCAGTGTATAAACTGAAATATATACATACTTTCACCCCTAAAGCGATGATTCTGCGAGGAGGTCCGAATAAGGCATATTCGTGGAACGGGCAAACACCCAAGCTATAAGGCACCAGTGAGTTGTGATTGGTAGACTGCACTCAACTTTTGGCTCCTTTGTGTCCAGGGCACCTGGGCAGGTGCAGCACCTTACTCAAAGTGGTAATGAGCATAGGGCCCGGGCCGGGCCCTGATGAGCTAGGAGTATATCGTCGTGTAATAAGATGCGCTATGCAGCTTGATTCTGCAGCACCCCGTAAGTAATTTCTACAAATCTCAGTTTCTAGCCTTAGTTTCTTTTTCTTTTAGAGTTTTTCCTAATAGAATGATGTCTTATTTCCCAATTCGTAGTATCGATGCACCTGAAACAACTAAGGCAGCATTCGATTAACGTTAAACTTGTGAAACAAGGGGTTCCTGATTATAAAAACTTCAGTCTAATAGGCACATTGACTGTGGCAAGTCACAGGTAGAACGTGAGAATCAACGCATCACGTTTCAGTAAGCCTGCACTAAGGCGGATTTGCGTCATTCCTACTACAGCCGCGACAATTTCCGAGCCACCGTCCGAGTGATCTTCCAGTCCGATGTAACAGATGACTTATATGGAGAAATGGTATCAGAGATACTAGGGAGGTAATGTCGTAAATTCAGTCGGTGCATAGACTGCATGAGCAGGATCGATTGGCCCGTACGTGATGGGCTCTGAAGTTGGACCAATTGGACATTAGCCGTTCTAAATCTGGACCAGACCAGTGATGGGGAGACAAAGTGTGAGCGCCATCACCAAGAGTTGGACTTGCAGCACAAAACCTTGTTATTAGACTCGGGTCTAGCTCATTTTGAATCTCGCTGGGTTCATACTATGAGAGGTTGCAATTGGCCTCAGACGCAGTAGCTGCTACCAAGGGCCTATAGGAGCTTCTTTTCACTGCTCTTGGCCGAGAGATTTGCGGCAGTTCGGGCTTGTCACATCTGAGATAAAGGTGACACCGGGATACCCAGCGAGATTCGTGAACAACGCATATGCGCTCTGGAATATGAGGAGAGTCGAGGTTGTAATGTAGACCCCGTCGAGTTCCATAGCGAACCCAGGCGGAAAGGCCTCAATCCAAGTGAGGAATCTGTCCAGCTGTTCCCGGGTCATTTTTTCGGCTATACGGACTGAAAAGACTGCACGTAGCGAAGGGGCAATCGTGCTCGGGTTAATCCGTGTGACGCCAGTGAAAGGGAAGCAGACAGATACCCCTAACTTGACATGATGTGTTGGCTTGATAACCGAGCTATTCCCTCGAATAGTCGCCATTGCGTCCGAAAATACCACAGAGTGGTGGCCGTCTCGCTTGCGTCGAGCAATCTCGCCCCGCAACTTTTCAGTTAAGGTATTGTGTGGTGGCTTAAGGGCTTCTGGAGTGTGATCATCACTCGCAGAAAGAATTTCGACAACGCGAGTCGTAGGATTTAACGCTCGCTTTGCCACATATGAGTAACAGCAATCCAGGACGAAGACAGCGTCTGTATCTGCGATGTCAAAGTCCTGGAAATCTCCTGCCACTACAGTATCGATGATTCTTTGAAGGTTTATGCTTCGGCGGGATCGCCCTTCGACAGAAAAGAGCTGTTCCCCTCTAACAGCTCCGTGCCCAGCATAGTGAATCAGCACGATGGATTTGCCGGGTGCGTTTGCTGCGAGTCGGAAAATGGACCGAATTTTATCATTAAGCGTCCAGCCCGGGGTCTGATCGTGTTCGGCCAAGATCTCAACTTCAGCTTGGTCAAGATTTAGTGTACTCAGGATCGCCTGAAAATGATCGGGGTCTGCAGAGGCATTCGTCTTGTCTCGCTCCCATCGAACACTCAGCGCGAAAGAGTTGTTGTAAATTCGGCTGCGATTATTCACAGCGCGAGTGATCGCGTCCTCAAACTGTGCACGAGTTATTGCGTTCATGGTTTGGTCTTCACTGATGGCTGTCGTGGTGAATTTATGGAATTATCTTGTAAAGGGAATGAGGTTTTAGTGTGTTTAGAGGATTGCACGAAGAGATGGGCGTGGGAAAGAAGTAGTAATCTGCATTGCGTCAACAATACGAAGATAGTTCTAAATTATCAGATCATTCTTGAATCACGGTCGATACCCTCTTCATTATGATGACATGCACTACCTCATTCGTTGGAAGGCTGTCGACCAGGAAATTATCCGTAAGGTAACAGCCGGCATAGCGATACATATGGCCTGACTTAGCCTACATGGGTTACAGCTTGGGACAAGATCTTCTACACTATGCTATGCTGCCAAGTGTTAATTGCTTCCCGCGCATGGATTTGATATACCAATCACTACCTTTTCATCCATAGCAGTACTCTTCAAGGAGGGTGAGACCGCGTAAATTACTTACGAAATTCACTGGAGTGCATAATCTAGATTCAGAACTTGTCGACAGCTATATGGAGAGAGAGATATGCACTGATGGTTAGGTTCAGTGACCGATTTGGTTAATTGTGTCGCCGAGAGATATATATCTTTGCCACGGAATATGAGGATGGTACATTGTGGATTACGAATAGGTCCTACAATAGAAGAACTGTCTTCTTATATCTATGATAAGAGTTAATGTCGAATAGATACTAAATATGGTCAAGTATTAGAAGACGCTTGGTGTAGGTAGCGAGAGGTACTATTATTATTTGACAGATACTGTACATCAGTTAGTATGGTATGATTGTGATGGAAAAAATATGTTAGGCTGATAATAATATTTTGAAACCGATTTTCTAACAATTGGTCCCATAGCTCAGTCGGTTAGAGCGCTGTGCTAATAACGCAGATGTCGAGAGTTCGAGCCTCTCTGGGATCATTACTTTTTGCGCTTCAAATTTTTACTCTCACATCTCGTTGTCTTATTTCTGTAACCCCCCCAAGATACATCATCCTCCTTACCCGGAACTGTCCGTACAGCTGTATTCGTTTTGTTTCCCTTCCCTTCCCTGATATATGTGCAATGTTCAACTGTTCAGCAAACTGTGGTCTGAATAGTCTTTATCCGCCTCCCCACAAAACCTACATCCACCCACACAGTCCCACACCCTGCTCCATATTGCATACTATATATATTGTATGAGGTGGCAAGTGATTGTAGGGCCTGCTAACCAGTTATAAGTGAGACACCTATGTGAAGAAAAGGGCTTTGTCTTGATTTCGTCCACAAGGACCCATAGGTCCTAGCAGCAGGATTGTATCTTGTCTAGACCAAGAGTATCCAGCAGGACTCCACGCCATAGAAGCGTCGACATATACCTACTTAGACTTCTAAGCCTTAGCAATCTAGGCATGGCTTAGTGGAAAGTCGGCTGAACCATACTGTACCATACATCGACATGCCCGATTATCCTGAGAACTCGGCCCGGGAGTATGGTCGTGGTTGAACCCCGAGGATGTTAGTTCATACTAAGGTTGAAAACTTGGTCCAAAACAACACCGCGAACTAACCAATAGTAGAGATCTGAAACTACAGAGACTGTTGAGTAAGCGGCTCAACTGAACCTATAATAGGCAAGAAGTCGCTTACATAGTGTGTATCGGCATTGCTACCTGGATCTCCGAGCACTTCGGAGAAAGACACAGCCCTGTCTATTTCTGTTGCTCGAGACTAGATCTCTTTGGCTCCACATGTCTTACATCAAAATTAGATCTTCCTTGGAGCCGATATGACCTAGATAACCATAGCAGCAATATGCTATCGGGTAGGAAGGCCGCGTCAGCCATGGCTATTCTTGACTGAAGCTAAGAAAACCCAGCGAAGGGCTATGAGCACGATCTGTATGTTCTATTGGCCACTATACAATAGTGACTTGATAGAATGATTCGCCTCAAGCATATCCATTCTTGGCATACTTAGATTAGAAACAAATCAGGAACAGAGGTCCAGCGACCTGAGATCCATAGATTTGTGGTCTTAGGTGCTCATAGCTTCCATAAAACCCACTGAGACCCTCTCTGACCTCATCAGTATTGCAGAAAAAACCTTACACACTCGTTTACTAAAATATCCATTCATACGAAACCCAATACTCGCTCCTTAGACTCACAATGTCAGTTACATCAACCGCAACCACCACCGCGGCCTCCGCAACCTCAACCTGCCACCAAAAACTCTACGAGATCCCCGTCAAAGATGCCGCCTGCGCAATGCCGATACAGGGAAACAACTCTGCAATCATGAGCAGCTGTTGCTCCTCCGCCTCCGTCGTCTCCTACAACGACTGCGACTACTACTGCCTGGCCCAGGGTCAGAACGTCGGCGATCTGGCGGAATGTCTCATCAAAGCATCCGAGCCCGGAGAGGTGTGGTGCAACACCAACGCCAACGCGACGGCCACCGGTAGCGTTCCTACGACTGGGGCGGGCACTATCGTCGCTACTGCCTCTGTTACTGACTCGACTGCGACTGGGACTAAGAGTTCGACTGGTGCGACTTCGACTTCTACTACCAATGCTGCTGGGGCGAAGAAGTCGATCGGAGTGCTTGCACTCTTGCTGTTCGGATCTACTGCTGGGCTGTTGGTTTAGACATACCTCTGGAGAGATTTTGAGAGGTTATGGGCCTTGAATATGGGTAGAGAGTCAGTTTGACTTTGCCTGTCACTCTTTGATTCGGCGAAAGCCTTTGTGCTTTTTGGTTCTCTTATCTTGTTTGTGTCCTGTGCTTATTGTGGTTTCATTGTAAGATTACTCAACAGGACAGTGTTTATCTTAAATTCTGCCAGACCAGTATATAATTGCTGTTCTATAATTAAGAATCCGAGGGATTATATTGCAAAGTATGCCCATGCCACCTAGTCCATGAAAGCAGGCCTACGACCCCTTTCACTCAGCACTCCCTCGTAGAACAACCTCCTTCATCATCCCATTGAAGCCTTCCCCAATCCGTGCTAGTGGGGCTTCGATTGCAATGGGTGCCCAAACCTGGCTTTCGCCATTGATCCCCAGCCGCGCAAGAAACTCCATCGTTGTGGATCCCGCACCTGAATCGGAGACACTAAGCAGAGTCTGATTGCCCCTTCCAACCAAATGCACTTGAGTCCACGTATCCAAAGGAAGACTATAGTTGAGTGAATATGGGTTTCCACCGCTTATCAGGGTTATGTTGCTAATCGACCCATTTCCACTTAGAAGAACCGAGTCGGGTCCGGCAAAGAGGGTGCCAGGGTTGCTTGACGTGGGGTTCACCCAGAATGATAAAGTGTAGTCTCTCCCTTTGCTACCTAGCGGGGTGTCCACATAGCAGCCGTTGGAAAGTACGAGAGCAGAGTTTTGAACGTGGCATCCCCGCATAACTCCATCATAGCCGTTTCCTGAATGATCAACGACGGTCTCGGTGTCACTATCGAATTTGTAATGTAGTATGGTATCAGTGTGGCTCTTCACCTGACGATCCAGGTTCTGTCCAGGGATTGCGGCGTGAATCTTGTTGAACACTGCATCATATTCCTCCTCCAGAATGTTTCCACCCCATTGTTTGTCAGCCAAAGCTGGAAGGGTATCCCTCCACGAATAGTATGTTTCAAGAACCGTAGTAGAATTCGGGCCATAGTCGTTCCATAGAGCCGCGATGTGACCAAGCACGTGTGGATCGTTTCGAGGAGGATTGTTGGTGACATTCTTGGTGTCGAAGACGTTGGGAGCAAAAGCCCCGCCGGCGGGATTTCCATGGAACACACGAGTCTTGTTCAACGTGGATGGGTAGCTACCGGACCACTTGCCTACAATGTAGAACGCATCGTCCGAATTGAGCACATTATATCCATTCTTGATGTAGTCGAAGTAAGGATTATCCTCGAAGAACTCCCAATGCTGGATGGAAACATCCGTGGACACATTGGCACCCTGTATTGGGGTGAAGGTGCCCCAGATTCTCATGCTCTTTCCTGATTCTCTGGAGATATAGTCGCGCATCGTATTAACAAAAGATGTATAGTCAGTCACAAGATCTGTGTCATATTCGTCTGCACCTATGTGGACTGTTTTGCTGTGGAACCACGGCAAGAAGGTCTTCCAAATGGCCTTCATAGTAGGAATGGTGTCGGGGTGAGTAATGTTGAGCATGCTGAGATCGTCAAGCGCCAGCTCAGGGCGCCACTGGGAGATAACCAGTGCATGGCCTGGAGCTTCAATTTCGGGAATAATAGTGACACCTCGTCGGGCACACTGTTGTTGGACGTTGTCAAATTGTTCCTTAGTATAGGATTCATTGGCGCGTTTATTGAGACCAGCTACCGCAGGATCATCCGACCATAGGCGGAATGCTGCATACAGATCCATTGACTGCTGAGCGGAATATCCATCTACGTTGTTGTAGAGATTGTCGCTTAGATGCACGTGAAATACATTCTGTTTGAAAAAGGACAGGAAGGCGCACATTTCGATCAGAAACTCAGGGGGGTAAAAGTGGCGCCCAGCATCCAACTGTACAAGTCTCGGTTAAGGTATATAACGAGGCAATGGAGTAGTTTGGTAAGCAAGTTACATACCATGACACCTCTATTGGCCCACCCAGGCGCATCCACAGCAGATCCTTGGGGAAGAGTGTGGCCACTGACGACAGCGGCCTGAATCAACGACCGCGATCCCCACCAAGCACCTAGTGGACTGGCTCCAGAGATTCGCACGCCATTTTCGTTGATTGTTAGCGTGTATGCTTCCGAGGTATATCTCCCGGCAGCGTCTTGGAATCCAGTCTCATTGGCAAGCGTAAAGAAAATTGAGTTGACTGCGGCCGTCCTGCTAGAGGTGAGTGGTATATCAATCCCTACCGTGGATTGGAGGTCTTTTTGGAAAGTCTCGGCGAATTGTTGCAAGGTAGGTGGGATTTGGGTTGCTCCATCATTGTCTATAGCATCGGCATAGCGCTCATCAACCACAATACTGGTGAGTTGAGATAAGGAATAGGTGTCGTTCGCTCCAGTGAACGGGATAGTTGGTATAGTCACCAATCGGGTGTAACCTGCTGTTTGTGAGACGTTTGTCATAATATAGATTCGTAGCTCGTACCTCCTATAGAAAGAGATAGGAAGAGACCTAAATTAATAACTTGACCCCAAAACATATCGGTAGCCAATACAGATATGCGTTTTGAGTTGAGATCTTGAAAGTAGGAGGTCGAGAGACCCCAATGGTTTTTTTTTCCTATTTAAGGACCGGGTTATATGTTTGGTAGCATCTAAGCCATGTAACATGGCGCACAGTTACTATCAACACTTCGCTTGGATATATCGGCAAAGAAAGGTTACAATTAATTAACAGTAGTCAGACTTGTTCTAGTGATCTGCGCGTGGAGCAACGTTCCATAGCAGACGAGAGGCGGGGGCTGTGTCATATCTCTAGTATGAATGGGCGATTTCTATTAGTAGAGAATAGAAATAAGCGGACTTTGCTGAACCCTATCTAATTTGTATTCTGGGACATTGTTATCATACAGACAACAAACCAACCGTGATTTTTCTTGAAAGATTCGGTGACTGCCATCATTTCACTCTTCCCAGAGTGGAAGCATGTTGATAGTGCTGGCGTCAAATGCTTATCTCAATGATTAAGCAGCTTGGACTCCGCGACCCCGCACGGCACGAGCAAGAGCAATGTTTGATAGATTGGTTGAGCTCACTGCTTGATCCATACAGGTCGGGGAGAATCCGACTATAGCCGTGCAGATCGCCATTAGACTTCCAAATCCCGCATGGCTCGAGTTAGCAATGTCACCCTTATGTAACCCGGGGGTTGGTTGGTTTTTCCGCTGTATAATGGCAGTGACCGACTTCAAGAGTTAGCACCTGCTCGGCTCCGAGGCATGGCAACGGTTGGAAACTGCGCAATATCGGGCATTGCGATACCATCGAGTGGATTTCCCACCAATGGGGATTCAATCGACCGAAACACAGAATCTTGATACTTGATGCTGCTCGAATATCGAAATGGTCACCTGACCACCGGCTGTAAAGCGGCACATGACACACTCTGCCGATGCGGCATCCAAGAACACCCGGATCTCTTGAGGTTCAATCAAACTGCACCAGAAGGCCAGGGGAGACGCGAAAAGCAGGGATTGTCCATCGCAGTGCTATCATCAAAGCCAGCGACTGGCCCGGAAGAGAATGATTCGTTTTGGCATCAAGTCTTTCATTGTGAGTTCCTAAAGAATTAAGATCACCAGACAGGACGAAATAAAACCTGCATTTCGCCATCAAGAACCCATAAACGCAGGGGACCGCTATATGTACAGGAAAGTTTAGACCCATTACCATGCCGGTCCCAACCATGGATAATGCAAATGCTTCGAGCGCCGGAGGGAAGAGATTCGAGGAATAACAAGAAAAATCGTTCTAATACAGCGTGGACCAAAAATAAATTAAATAACAACACCCTCCCGCTTTGCTGAAACAAACCCATAATGGACAATCATTTCGGACAACTGTTGGCGAATGGAGGTCGACTCGGTTCGAGTGCTAGAATACAACGAAACGGAACGAGCGGCATCTACAGAAAGGTCTTGCGCACAAGCTATGATCGAGTTAGCGAAACTTCCAACTTTAAAGAATGAACGGTGTTCACATACAGCCCAGCCTCCTGCAATAGAAGCCACAATACCACCAGAGATCATCATGGGCTTAAGACCCCTGGTGCTCTTGAAGAGCATACCACTTAGGGCACCTGCAACAATACTGTTGGCAGAGTCATGCTTTCCTCGCGCATATCCAATTCCCGAGTTAAAGCCGTTATATACCATAGCCACCACACCGGCGGAGTTTCCGAGGAAAGGACCTCTCCTTGTGATAGCGTTCAGGACACCGTTGAGGCGAATTTTGGGAGGTGCTGTCGCAGGCACCTTTCTCATGCCTTCAGCAAGACCCCATGCTCCTCCAGCAGTCAAACCAGCAAGGTATGTTGTTCCGGCTCCATAACACAGATCATCGGACCATCCACGAGATGGCAAAAGTGATCGCGAGCCAGGTGTTTCATCAAGGGCGGAGTCTTCGAGAGTGATATAATCGAGGGTATCCTGGTTCAGGCCAGCCAAGGGGTGGAGTGAGGTAGGATCAGGGATGGCGACCTCCGAAAGGAACGACGTAGCATCTTGCGCGGTGGAAGGGTCGAATTCGGGTCCTTTGGACTGTTTGCGGCCGCTGAGTGAGTCCCAGAAAGACATTTTGGAAAGAAGTACTTTTATTAAAATGAATACAATTAAGAAGGTAATAAAACACGGGAGGAAATGAACAACGGTTGGTATGCCACTCTGGCGCTGCAGGTCTTCGTCGCGAGTATGGAAATTCGAAGGAACCAGAACAAAAACTTCAACCCCGTGACGGGCCGAGTCACGAGTAATCACGGGCAGTTCTCCGGTGTCGGGAAAAGCTTTGGCCGACGCTAACCGCTTTGGGTGGACCCGCCTCGAAAATCCACGAAAAGTGATTCCCCAGCGCGGGGGGCGGGCATCTGGATATCAATTTTTTTTTTAGAGAAATTTAAAATAAATTCCTTGCCGCCGGATTTTCCATTGCTCGGGGTTTACGGACCCGATAACGCAATGGATCTTCACGCAGGGTCGAGCGCTTCGGGCGACGCCGGATATCAAAAAATGGAGGCGATATCGCAAGATATACAACTCCTCCCGGAAGCAACCCTTAAGGAAATTAGCAAAGGGTTGTTGGTAAACTTTGTTCTGTCTTGTGAAGACATCGAGTAAGATTGTACTGTTCATTTGTGCCTACTGTATTCTAACTTATTTAAAAAAAAGCAAAGTGAACCGAGTATGGCAGAGCTTATTGAAGACGTTTTCGACGGCTTCAACATCTAACACCCATACTGTGGCTTCATGCAATACGCTAAGCGCATTTCTTGACACTGCACTTGCTTCAAAATGTGAAGGAACAAGAAAATTGGCTTTCTCCAATGAGACTTGGTCTGCTGTGTTTGAGGTCTACATGGCTCGCTATAAAGATGCAAATCCAAAGGGGATGAGACTAGTCCTGGAGTGCCTGGTCGGCCTCTTTAATAAAAACCCCCAGGAAACCGACAAAGATTTAATCAGATCCAAGATTACTGAGACAACCATCCCTAGCATTATCCTTGGCGAGCCTCGCTCGCGACTTAAGGCGTCTTTCGTCTCTTTGGAGGCTCTGCTACGGAAGGGCGCAATCTCTCCCATTGAGTTTATCTCACTGGTAGAGAGTTGGCTTCTGGAGAATCGTGAAAGATGGATCTCACTCCTTCAGGAGGATTGCAAATCTCTGTCCATAGATATCAATCGCTTCCTCGCAAGTGCTCCAAGCTCCGAGTCGAAACAAATTGTGGCCGAGATCCTTCTTTTGAGATTATTAACCCAAGCCAAAACAGCAGAACTTGCTGCTTCATCAGGGGATTTAATGGCTGTTTTCTTCCAGAAAGTTAAAAACCTTGACACGTCCGGGCCATCCTCTCAAGAGATTTCTCAGAACTTGTCATCAATTTGGGTGATTCCAGTTAGGCACCTTGCGCTGCAGAACCTGGATAATCTAGAGCTGATGTCTAATTACACCCTTCAGCCTTTGTTTAAACTTGACCCTGCTGGATTTAGAGCATTTTTAGAAAAGTTACACCTGAAGAACTTGCTCGCAGGGGATATGAGTGAGGCGCCATTACCAGAGCTGACCCTTCTCTTTGCATCGCTGCAGATGGCAAAGAAAGTTGGCCTGGTCCACGAGGATAGTAAGTGGAAATGCTTTTTAAACCCTGTTCGTGTTCGTGTTACTTACCTCCATTGCTACTAGACTACATTCCCAAAGCAGGGTCTTCAGCCAATGACGCCCAGAATGCGCTCGTTCTCAAGAGCGAAATGATTGGCCAGTTCCTATTCCATAGAGAACATAGTATCAGGATAGCAGCACTTTCACTCCTGATAACGGCACCTGCGACAACAAAGCCGGTTTCTTCGGCCACAATAAGAGCGATATTGAAAGGCTTGCCGTCTATGCACTCTGAATCTGCCGACCCATACGCCAGAGGAGAGATCCTGAGCTTGATACGCAAACTGATTCCTCGTCTCAAAGGCGGTATTCTGAGTGAACACGAAAACTTGGCTGAGACAAATGTTCCAAATAGCAAAAGGCATCAGCCGAAGTTTGCCCGTGACGATTCTGAGACGCAAGAGTGCCTGAAAGAATACCTGGAGTTATTGAAAGATGACCTGCGATCTACAGCCTCTTACCCGCGCCACATCATGGCATTGAAAACATTGATCCATCTACTTGAATCTGGCCTCGATGCCCGGTATGCTGGTCACATTGCTGCCAAACAAGCGGGAAACGTCACAAAGTGGCGACTTAACATGGATGTATTTGAGCCAAGCCTGCTCAGATTGTTGGTAGACCTTTTACTGGATCCATATGAGGAAGTGCGGGCTACATCCCTCACTTTGCTTAATATGTTTCCTCGAGACGTCTTACTAAGTGGCTACGTGCAATCCGGGTGCAACAGGAAGTATGAGAAGCCGCAGTTCGTGGAGGCCTTGAATAGAGCAGAACAACTGGCAAGTAATACTAGTAGAGCTGACCATGCCGATACTGTCGCTCGTCTGTATCACATATTCTTTACAGCAGCAGACGATGATAACTCGAAAGTGGCGGATAGCTGGTGGGAAACAAAACAAGGAGTTGTCGATAATCTCCTGAAGAAACTGGAAGAAAAACTATCCCTTGCAGGTGGTCTCTTCAACTCTTCTATGCGTGATGCACCCCTACACGGTTACGTCTCTGCTCTTAGGTACTTCTGCATAATGTGTATATTCAACGCGTTGAAGCTGACCTTTGCTCTAGATATATTGTGTTAACTCCTGATTTCCATGTCTTGATCTCAAACGCACAGACAGGGTACGGGGCCTGGCGAACCGTACACTCAAGGATAGTGGCTGTTTGTGACAAGATTTGGATTGAAGTGAAGCCCATACTCTGTATTGATTCTCCGGAAGGCCACACCGATGAGCCCATTGACGATCTAACTGTCGGCCCTAAGGATATCCTTTCTTATTCTTGGCGTGCACTTCGGGAGTCGAGGTAATTTCTGCTCTCTGAATTCATCTTCTCCGCTGACAATGCCAGTCTCCTGCTTTACGCAACACTCGCCAATAGGACGTACGGCCCGAAAGGAGAATCAGGCTTGACGAAGGGTGACTTTGAGACAATAGGAGTCGCAAGCTTCACACAGCTGGCCGAGCTTCGCCATAGGGGTGCATTCTCGACTGTGTCTCAAACCTTTGCCACCTGTTGTTTGCGTTGTGGACAGTCGAGCGACCCTGAGATTGCAAGCCTACCTCATAGATGGTATCAGGCAAGTATTTCAGACGGCAGAGTTCATATGAGTAAAATGCTTATGTGTTGATATAGGAAGCTAGAAAGATTATCTTCGAGACCGCATCAAAGCTAACGCGTCGTTCCGCTGGGCTTCCTGCACTGGCCACTGGAATTCTTTCATCTAACCCTGGAGGGCAGCTCTTCCAAGATGTCATCAAGGAGCTCATCGAGATATCTCACCTTCCAGTACAACAAGATGATGATAACCAGGAGATGGAGCTACCTCAAGTCCATGCTCTGAACTGCCTGAAGGAAATTTTCACCAATAACAAGGTTGGCGCTCATACAGAGCCGTTTATCATGCCCGCTTTGAATCTGTCGGCTGAGCAGCTGGGGTCGCCAGTGTGAGTGATACCGCTCATTTTGACCAAGTTATGAGTATTAAGTGGCTAATTTCTGCTCAGTTGGAACCTGAGAAACTCTGGATTGATGCTCTTCCGAGCTTTACTCACGCGCATGTGTCGCAGGGGTAGCGGTCTAGGGTTTGGCGGTAGCTCCGGATCGGAACCCGGCGGTAGAATTTCTTTCCAGAAATATCCGGGTCTTATTCAGCTGCTCTCTGACCTTCTGTCGTCGTCGGATGCGAGAAATAACGCGGAAAAGGGTGACCATGCGATGGTCACTGAGCGAGTCTTCCCGGCTTTGGAACTCATTGCGGAGAAAGTCCCGAACGCTTTTGATACAGATGACGTGATGCTTCTAGGACTGGTCCGGGAACAGCTCAAGAGTCCAGTGTGGGGCATCCGAGAACACGCGGCTCGTGTTTATGCATCCTTGCTGAATCGCCCTGACATTCTGAAAGATATCCAAACACTGCTTGATGTTGATCGGGATTCGAAGTCACAGGACTATCTTCATGGAAAGGCACTGTCTATCAAGTATGCTCTGCGCAGATTCGGATCTGCGTCGATCTCGTTCTGGAATGGTAAGTAATACTTGCGTAGCATCTAGATAATCATATCGGCTGACGTGGTCACAGAGCATATCCACGAAGTATCTGCAGCCCTGCGACAGATCTTTGCCACATTGTTCCCAGTTGCCGAATCTCCATTCGTTGCGAACACTTTGCTGGAGATCCTTGGCGAATCGGTGGAGAAGAGCTTTGAGTTAGGAACGGAAGGTAAATTGAGCCCTCCTCAAAAACTTGCATCTGTGGCTAAACAAAGGTATAGAAAAACTGTTGATGACTATTTGCTACACATACGACTCATACGGATTTCAAGATATCCTGGAGTACCTCTTTGATACGTCGAGTCCTAATTACAATTCATTGAGCACAACTCGTGCTTCTTCTATGCTCCGGAGATCTCTTTCGTGGGTTGGAGCACTGCAAATGTTTGTGACCGGTGAATTGGATGAGCTGGCGCCATTCGTCAAGACCATTTCGACGTTCGATCCCAATGCTGGTGTATGGCTGCTCCAGCAGATACAGGATGTAATCGGAGGAAAGGAAAAATACCGAAAGACCTTGCTGCAACTGTACCCTTCTATCATCCTGGGCGACTACTCCGAAGATGTGAAGGGTTCAGCTATCTCATCCCTAGCATCCATCCTGGAAGATCTACTTGACTTCCATCATGATAAATTCAAGGACGTGGACTTGCCATGGGAGGATCTAGACCAACATATTAACTCCAAACCGAATGGTGAAGTGTGGAGCAGAGACCGATCAGACGCCGAGATACGTCTCCAAGGATGCCTTCTCGCAGCCAAGGCTATTTCCAACCAAGGTCAGATTTCCGAGACGGACATTCGCAGATGGGCCACGAAGCTGCGATTCGCGATGGAAGAAGAAACAGTAAGTGATGTTTTCCATCCATATCACGCTCAATCTAGACCCTAACCAACGCCAGGAATTTACCACTCGAGATGCCGCAGTGACCTCACTAACGGCATTTGCACGCGTACTGCGGAGCAAAGGCAAAGCTCCACTTGTGGACAAGGTGTACTTGGAGATCTACCTTATCCTATATGATATGCTGAGCGACGACGACGAGGAGCTGCGTGATATGGCCGCCGGAACTGCCTCCTGGGTCCTGTCATATTCCTCCGTGGCCCCCTCTAAGACAGTTGCCTTGTCTCCCTTGAACGCTGGCCAGCTCCTTGCCGACTTCATGGTCGATAACTACCCCGAGTCTCAACTCTTGTCCACTAAAGCAATCCACTATATCACTGGAGAGGAGCCGAAGCTCAGCGGCTCTGTCGAACGCACAAAGCTTGCAACGGTAGAGGCACAGCTTGCCGAGCTGAGAAAGGAGAGCACAACCTTGTTCGAAGAAGAGAGACAAAACTTGTTCATCGAGGAAATCCGTGAAGTCGATATCTGGTCCTGTAGACTTCTCGGGCTGAGAGAAGCTGCTTTCAGCGAGCGTCTAGTTAAAGAAAGCTCAAAATGGGTCTCTGACGGCCTCTCCTACGTCGCAGACATTATGACAACTGAGTCCGAAAAGGACGGACTGGTCGGCTGGGCCTCAAAGCCAGAAACGTTCACCCTGGGCTTGAGACTGATTAGCCTCGCGGCCGTGCTGGTGTCAGAGGAGTTTGCAGCTTCTGGATACCTCTATGAAGACCGGACTGCTCTCAAGGAGAAGCTGCAGAGGTTACTTGGCAATGGGGAAACAGCATTGCTGCATGATAACTGGATTGCGAGAATACAGAGTGCATTGGGTATTGAGGGTTAGGATAGATAAAAGTTAGACATGTTTAATACCACTTGTTAGTTCCTTTTACCTATGTGATCTCATCTACTTTGTAGAGGCCGATGCAGAATATAATGGACGTGCAGTCCATTCACTGGAAGAAGGTCGCCGAGCACAACCAGCTCTGTGATTTTCACAACAGTTGTGGTTCCAAGTCTGGCATGCCACACCCTTAAACAGTCTCACACCAACCAAGCATCCATCCTCATCTCTCCCTGAGGAACAAGTACCCTGACGCCAGGAGAATCACATGGCAAGTAAGTGCAATCCAAATCCCCCCCCTTCCACATCAAAGCAACCAACCAGATAAACCAACAAACCAGCCCCAACAGAGAACCCCAAAAAACGGACCTCAAAGAAAATGAACAACAACATCATGATAGCCATAATAATACTAGTCCTGCTCGGGATAACGGGGATCGTATACCTGTACTCGATCCGGTGGCGGTCCCAAGCAAGAGCGCAGCTATTCATTGCGCGAGCCAAATCGCGGAAGAGACTGATATCGGAATCACAATCCCACCCTCAGGGCCAAGCTACCACCCCGATTCAAGTCACTGTTGTACGTGGTCGTTCGCGTGCTCCTTCACGGCGTCCTTCGCCGCGGCTGTCTGCGCCTCAGCTTCCGGCCCCTCCTCCACGCGCGACATCGACGACGTCCAGGAAGGGACAGAGGGGGAGGAGTAGACCGAATGAGCGTCAGGATAATCGGCAGGGGTCTGGACTGGGGGCACCGAGAGATCAGTCCCGGATGTCGAAGAAAAGCAAGAAACAGAAGGGGCAACAACAAACAGGGCAGACTGCGGGTGATGGTAATGCGACGTGCTCTGGAGGTGCAGGACAGCCGGCGCAGCAAGGGCGCTCTAATCAGGCTGCAGACGATGAGTGGGGTGTAGGTCTGGCTCAGCAGGATGATACACGATACACCGGGCGGCAGGATGAACTGTCGCAGCCTGGGCCTAATAATAGCGAGTGGGAGACTGGCAATGAGGCTGTTGTGGGGAGTTCTGGAGGGCCTACATCTCCTGATGCCGAGTGGACTAACACGGGGGATAGTGGAGGACAGCAGGAGGCGTCACAGGGTGCATGGCATGCTAATGATGCGATGGAACAGAGGAGCGGGCAGCAGCAAACGGGTATGGAGGGTCAAGGGGAGCCCAGCTGGTGATTGACTGCTGAAGCTGTGTTGTTTGTACTGTTCGCTGCCGAGGTAGTGTACGTTCAAGGGGGATAGAGTGGTTTTGATTGTCTGATGATGGAAAGAGTGCTGCGAGGGAATGATCCAAATTTGGCGAACGAATACTGTACGATTTCTAAGATAAAGGGGATATGGCAGCTATGAAGACCTTGAGACTGCTAAGCATTATTCGCACAGGTTATTATCATAACTTGGCCCAGACTGTCCTCGAAAGGCCGTTCCGAAGTCCACATCCAGGAGGCCTCTAGATAAATGTTGCGATTCTAGATAAACAAGTCCACATTAAAGACCAGGATGCGCATTGATCCGGTAAAAAATAGAGATTTACCAGGCAAATGCATAATAATACTAACTTTAATATTCTAGTGTGACTATATTCGGAGTATTGCTCAGATAGATCAGATAGACCACTTTCCATATTCTTACCGTTCGGACATGTCTTCTGACATAGGACCCTGGAGATGTTGCAGAGAAATATTAATGGTTCGTGAGATCCCGGGAACAAGATATGAATGAAATCACTGTTCAGTCAGTGCTCCATCCTATGTGATATATTAAGGCGAGTTGTGGCCTCGACTGATACACGAAGTAAACTGTTTCGAAAAGGCAAAATTGCGCTCTCATGCATCCTCTGTCTTGAAAATATGGAGGCTTCTCGATTAAGGAAATCCGCAAAAAGCGATTGTCATCGAATCCAAATGGTAGGGTTGTATAAACAGCTCTGGGGAGTGATTCTGATCTAAACGAAGATGACCGCTGCACACAGTAACATAATGAAGCCAGGACGTGCACTTCAACCAGCTATATACATCTTCGCAGGTCCCGGATTTAATCTATGTATTAATATGAATCATCTGAATAATGACAGTGCCACCCTGCTGCGATAATGAGAAATGTACCTGCGGAAGACCCGGGAAGGGGAAAAAACCAACTTCAGGCATGAATGACAGGTGGGAAGGCTTTTAGTCACACCTTTTCTTAATTTCTCTTCATGGTGAACAAGAATGAAGGGCCATAATAATGTTCCACTTGTCGTCATCTTCCATCATTCAACAAAAATCCAATCTGTGGTGCGGCCGCAAATGGAATTAAGCTCCTTATGTCCGCCTTCTTGCGGCCGCATTTATATTACCTTGTGGCGGCCGCCCGCCCCCCCGCTAGGTACTCCATGGCCACACTGGCAAGATGAAAGTCTATAAATATGTTCGTACTGCTGCATGTTGGCGAGGTATTCTGGAGTATCAGAATCTCCTTTGTGCTTCAGTACCTCAATTGTTTCGTATCCCAACAGCTCATTATTATCATCTGACATACAATGACGAGAGTTTGGTTCATCACTGGATGCTCTCGTGGCCTCGGCCTAGCCATAGCTGAAGCAGCGCTCACTGCTGGGGATTATGTTATTGCGACTGCCCGAAAGCCAGAGCAGCTCGCAGGGCTGACGGGAAGATATGGCAGCGATAGGGTCTTTACCATAGCCCTAGACGTCAGCATCAACGACCAAGTGATTGAAGCCGTAAAGGCTGGACACGAAAGATTTGGCCGAATCGACATAGTTGTTAATAACGCAGGGTATGCCAATTCTGTTGCTGTCGAGGATATTGACATCGATGACTTCCGAGCCCAAGTAGATGCGAATCTCTTTGGGGCTGTCTACGTTTCGAAGGCGGTCCTACCTATCCTTCGCCAGCAACGATCCGGCCACATATTTCAAGTTTCATCGGTTGGCGGACGAGTCGGTGTGCCGGGTCTCTCGGCATACCAATGTGCAAAATGGGCAGTCGGAGGTTTTTCGACGGTGCTGGCGCAAGAGGTGGCACCGCTCGGCATCAATGTCACCGTACTGGAGCCTGGCGGCATGAGGACTGACTGGGCTGGCTCATCAATGCAAATTCCCCCAGTGAGCAAGCCATATGAGAGTACCGTGGGTTACGTGGCCGACCTGCACCGGAAGAACTTAGGGAATGAACCATCCATACCAAGCAAGGTTGCAAACATCGTTCTTAGGTTGTCGAAGGAAGAGGAGCCTCCTTTGCGACTTTTGATCGGCCCTGATGCGATGGAACATGCCGAAAAGGCGGCGGAGGCTCTCGCAGCATCAGACGCAAAGTGGCGTGCATTCAGTGTTTCCTCAACCTAGTACAGCCTCATCGAGTTGCTTTCCTGTTAGCCCTTTGCTGCTTGGTTTAAAGAACTGCAGAACCGACTTCCGCTATCAGAAAAAACATTGCTATAGTAGAAAAACTAGTCATTTCGGTGTAAAAAGGACGACTGAAAACGATAAGAAACATTTGCTGCCCTTTGAATTCCGACCGCAAGGACCGTTGAGTTGAATGCAATTAACTAGACGATGTGATAATAATTGCTCGGCGAATTGAGCCTTTATGAAGGCACTCTTGAGAGCATTACCTGTTTTGGTTAAGTCATGACTCATATGTTATAGTCTGTTGTTAAGTTTAAACAGCGATTAAGTCTTAAAGTCAGAAGACCAACACTCTGATATGATATCCCCATAACTTTGCATTAGACTTCGTATTGCCACACCTGAGGTCTGTGATCCACCAATCGTAGCATCAAGCGAAATAAGGCCTTTCAGTATGGTATCGATATGTTGTTTCCAGGTGGAGTCAGCATGGTGGTTGAAGGGTCTGTCATCCAGTGCGCCCACACCACAAGGCGGATATAACTGCACATCGAGTATGTTCTCGATAGCTTTTTGGAAGGTAGCCGCTACCAGCGTAGGGGTAATATGGTACGAGAGTACCGAAGCCTCACCACTAACGCCGTTCTGGAGGTTGAATATCTCCTCAAAAGGCAGCGAGAGCACGCGCTCTACTATCTGTGTCACTGATAAAGCCGCCTCCTCGCTGTATGCTTGTAGTTTCAAAAAGACACTGTGACTGCAAGGCGGGTCTATTCCCCTCATAGTAGGTTTCAAAGCCTCTTTGAGGACAAACACACCAAGGTTCCAGAACATCAAAATAGAGACTGTTTGATACTAGTTAGAATAGTGATTAAATTGAACATATGAAAGAGAGTCATGATCATATTCGTGACGCACCAGACGACAATCTTGAGCGCATAGAAAGATGTTCAAGGTTTCCTATACAGAAGTCCAGGAAGGAACCAAACGCTTCCCTGAATTTACCAACTGCTGTAATCGTTGAGATAATGTCCATAGACTGGTTTGGGCATAATTCAATGTCATATTTGGTCGGACTAGAGAGGGAGCCTTTTATTGAAACTATTCGTTTCCAGATACGGAAAGCCTCTGCAACTGCTGTACGACATATATCCGGAACACTGTTATCGAAGTCTTGATTGAAGCTCTGATGAAAGGAACAAGGCGACATTAGCTCATATTCCAAAGAAGCCTCTTGACCTAAGAGATACTTAGCAAATCCTTGGTGTTTAAGATACTACCAAATTACCTTTTTCATTGCTTGAAGCATCAGAAAGCTTGCATATGTGATTTGCTGTGAGTGCTGCCCCTATATCACGAACGTGAGCACACCATCGGACGACACTCAGACTCGCCTCCATAATAGCGCCATATGTAGACTGTGGTCCCAGGTTCATGCAGTACTGGTCAACAAGCCCAGTCAAGCAATTCAGCTTCTGCAACCCCACTTCAAGAAATTCATGAGCTACGAGTGTCTCACCGGTCGCCTTCGCTGGAATAGAGATACCATCAAACATTAACATGGCGTATATGACTCTGAAGGATTGAACAGGAAGCGCACTATTAATAAGTGATCGCGCCTGAAACCAACTATCATAAAAAATGTCGATCGGTAAATCGCGTGGTGCGTCTCTGCCAACCGTATTGTTATAGCTGGTTGTCAATTGAGCCCCGGTGGAAGAATCGTTAGGAGATAGCCACTGAAGTGAGAATGTTCTGAGTACCGCTTTCAAAACAGCGTCTGACTTTCTGCGAGCAGGAACAGTAAGTCTGTTGCCATAGAGATCGCTGAAATGATCAAGGAACCGAACGGCTCCCATTATTGTCATCTTGTGGCTAGTACCCTGCGTTGTAGCTCCTAGTTGTCGAGATGAGGGGCCGGGAGTGATCAGAGGCACATCCGATTGAGACATTGAAGTGGGAGTTTTGGCTAGGTTTTCTTTTGTAACAGGGTCTGCTTGCACAGGCTTTTGATCCTGCAGGCTTCCACTCTCGCCATCCCCTAATTGATAGTGACATGCAGGTTTGTATAAATTGCATTCATAGCCTATGAACCTGGACGCACAACCTGTAACGATAGTATCATGGATACGGGCCAGGCACCCATCAAGAATTGTTGCGTTCAATTTAGAATTAAGTAGATAGAGAGGACTGCTAGGGGAGCCCCCAATACTAAGCTGAGGATTAAGCGGGAAAGGACGTTGTATCGTGCCCGAGCGATGTGTAACAAGAGAAGTGGCAATCTCATCATGATGTCGTGCTGGCCTTGCGGTATCCAGAAGTATGTCGGGAAAATCCGTGCTGTATAGAAAAGGCGTGAGATTATTGTCAACAGAATGATCAAGGTTGATGTTAAGCCAAGACGACAAAATGTCCTGATCTGCTACAGGGGGCACTTGTAATTCACTTTCATGGGATGCATCAACCGCGTTTTCCAAGGCGCTAGTTGACCCATCGCATTCCCCAGACAAATTAGTCCTTGTTGTATATCGCCTTCGACTCCTTCGCGTTGTTACACGTGAGTGAGACCTGGCAAAATCAAAAGTGCAAGGTGACCCTGTGCGCTTGCAGTTAGTGCATGCTGAATGAAGCTCTCCGTCTTTGCCGGGTAGCAAGCAGCAACGTCGTTTTGATCGTCGACATGCGTCGCAACTTGAATACTGGCGCCGCGAGGGTACTGTGGAAGGAGTCACCTGCGCCGTTGATTTAGAGTTGGTAATATTTGTCGGCTTATCCATCGCTAAGGGCGTGCGGATGGTAATATTGCTATAACGGGATGTTGTATAGAAGAAAGTTTAGATTCAATTTCCTTCGGAACAAATCGGGCATCTGGCCGATCCAGTCAGGTGACATGCCCCTATCACTTTCTTTACATCAACATGTTATAAACCAATCGATTCTCCATAGTCTTGTAAATTTTTCAGAAATTCTAGGAGGAGAGTGGTACGAACGTCTGTCCAGTTTGATACTCACTTGAAAATCCAACTAGTCCACCCGTTGGGCTAACAGACATATTGCAACGCAATCTACCAACAACTACAATATTTATTACCTAAACCGTCACCCGCCTTTAACCCTGTCGTTCTGTTGTCTTTTACACAACAGTCTGGTTATCAGGACAAAGTATGCCGTACAAGCCATTATCTTCATAGAGCTAGTCTATGTGCTTCTTGCGATGTACCTTGAAAAATACATATTGACGATATGTAGATAATCAAATGAGAGTTATATCACAATGGATGTCGACTTTCTCTTTTCTTTATACTGCTGTTGTTCTGGTGTTTGTCTCCACTGAAACATCTTGTTTTCTTGGGGCTTGCCCATCATTTCTGCCAACCATCAGACCACGGAGTATAAATCAAATCAGTGAAATCTGGACCACGAAGAGATATTCACTACGGTATTGGGACAGTTAACGCCAGCTTTAATCCTTACTTCTACTGTCCGTGTGTATGCACTTCTATAATCTAGAATCGATTACTGAGTAAAAGGCGGCCCTGAGCTAGTCCTTTCAGAAATAAAAGGCGTAAAGTTTCTATACAAGAACCGTTCATAACTTCTCTCCAGCGGCCCGACGAATACAGTCCACGATAAAGGTGGGATTGCTCAAAAACGGCGAGTGCCCCTCTTTGCATCTTTCCACGTGGAAAACACCATCACCCTGTGCAATCATTCTCTCTTGATACGACACCGGCAGCGCTTTGTCATTCTCGCAGACGATGTACGTACTTGGAATCTCACGGTAGGCCGTGTAAGTCACAGGCACGGTTAGAGGGCCCGTTGGGAATGAGCCCAGGAGATCCACTGCCTCATCCACATCCTTGGGATCGCAGCGATTATAAAAGACATCTCGAATGACCTCCTTATCTAGAAGCATGGCTCCATCCTAACAAGATAACACCAGTGATCAGCACATACATTCATAGCAAGTGAAGCAAACCATCCACCGTACCTCTGTGAAACGCATGCCTCCGTATTTTTCCTGTAACTCCTGGCGTTGCCGCTCCAGCTCCTCCTCCTCGGGCGTCTGGGGCTGGATCTGACCGACATGAGTCTGGCCCTCAGGCAACGCCATGGCACACATGTAAATCAGTCGCACAACGCCGCCCTTTAACCCTTGTTCCTCGCGCGCTTTCTTGCCCAACCCTTTCACGGCCTCGGACATGGCAACGCCACCAAACGAGTGAGCGACCAAAATGACATCATTGCCACTATCAAGGCTCTTCATGATAACCTCACGGACTGCTTGGGCATCTTGATCCCAACTGGCATGGGGAGGGCTTGAATTAACAGACGGCAATGTCACACCGACAGCTTCGTAGTTGAACTTTGCCAGTCCATCGATGAGGTACTTGTAATGTTTTGGGCAATGCCACGAGCCGGGCACGATTATGATAGTAGGGGTGTTGGACATTTTGACCCCCCCTTTTTTTTTTTTTTTTTTTTTAAAAAAAAAAGGAAGATATGATTGGTGATTGCTGGGTGTGTAGAAATATGAGAAGCTGGGTGACTCGAAGAGGCGACGAGAGGGGATAAATAGTTTCGAGGGGATGGCATCGGATCCGCAACAAAATGTAATGTCGCAGCGGAGCCGACGATGAACATCGGAACCGATAGCCACTTGCACCTTTGAAGCTTGGCATTTTGGCCTCAAACCACCCTGCAGAAGGAGCGATAATACTTATGAACAGAAGTAAATAGTTATACGAGAATAAATCGAAACATTGAGTCGTGGTTGCTACTCGTTTAGTTAAACTGCCTTGTGCAGGGTGCACGGTGTTGCTCTTTCTCCACCCGACCCACTCGGGACATCGGAGTGCTCGATTTAGTCCATGCTACATAGACAATTATGCCCCAAACGATCAATATTCTATTGTACGTTGTTTTTCCTAAGAAAGAACTATACATATTTCACTACTGTAGAATAGTATAGGCGGTTACTATGCGTATTACCGCAAGTAAGCACTAGTAGCATAAGATAATGCAGAATATCAATGAATCATGCTTGAGTGAACCAATAGAGATGATGTGTCTTCGCATCCTGTATAGAATAGGTATAAAGGAGCCATAAAAGGATCACTAGTAATACCAACGTTGACCTGAAACCAGTAAATCTCAGTTGTTCATTGAGACCATAGTATCGAGATCCATAAGCGATTCTTGGTATGTATGTCGATGTGCTGCACAGTGTGTAGTATAAAGGTACTGAGATATCAAAGCACAATAATAAAGCGGCCTCACTTGTTATTGTTTTATTCAGGACATTTGGACACTGTGCCTATGAGAGTGGGGTCAAAGGGCTAACTTCTTTGTATACTCTTTTATATTGAGCGTTACGGCCGTCATCCGGACTTCAAGGAACCTACTCTATTGATACTAACTTTAATGAAATCATGAAAAAGCCGGATTCCTTCTGGAAGAAGTCAGTATTCTTTCCAATATTTCTTAATGTGAAAACACCAACGCCTTGCATTATCGTCCCTAGTGGCTAAAACAAAAGCAGGGAGACCCTTGGTTATTAAACAGGGTAGGACATCCCGAAGAAATGATATTACTGACGCACCAAAATCTATAAGATGCGACGTATATTAGCTCAATGTAGATTGAGCAGCCCAAGGAAGACAGAATACAACAACGATATCAAGAAAGAATTTGCCAGCCTAGAGCATTTCTGGGAGAGCTTCCGCTACGATAATGTAGTGCCTGGGGAGTCGGTGTCCATTGACAGTGAGATTATATTGATGGCAGATAAAGCGTTTGGACGAGGAAGATGGACATTTTGGGGCTCCCATGAAATTTTGAGCGAAAGCAGTCGCCGCTTCAGGGAAGAGGGAGAGGAAGTTGAAGAATGGAAGTTCGACGTCAGGTGTCGAATGACTGTGGAACAAAACGGAAGGAGAGTGGATGGGTTCGCGGAAAATAAATCCCGGAAGGTAGTCTCAGCAAGAGCGGATTCCAGACAACTGTGTAGGCAGTCTGCTTTTCGGAAAGTTGATGATGAGGCGTTGTTGAATGCTCTTCAGAAGCTTCCCACAGTATCGCAAGCCTTGGAAGGACATAATTTACGTGATTAGATGAACCAGGGACCTTGGCCACTGTGTCCAGATTTCTGTTATTGACAATCCTGATGTTATGGCAATGTATGGCGATGGTGTCGTTTATAGACAGCTGATTTTGTATCATGTGTTTCTTGTATCGAGAGCATTGTCATTTATGACAAATCTGCTGATGACTTAGAAGAAATATGTCATAGCCTGAATATACAAAGTACGTTGCCATGAGCATGGTAAGTAGGGCAAATACAGTGTCTTCTAACTAACTCTCTCTTCAACTATGGCCTTCCAGCGGGTGACGTCAGTAGTAGCATGGTTTGAGACTATAAATAATGATGCTTTGCTATCAAAAATAGCAGATGAACAGTAGAAAAATTGGTTACATAGTTCGACTGGTGACCATTATATAATGTACGTAGGATGCAGTCGGCCAAGGACTCCTTGTGAAGGTGGAAATTGTGATATTACACTTGAACACACGTGTAAGGGTGTATGTGGTCCCCATACCCAAAACTATACACTAGACAGGAAGACAGCTTATACTTCCAGTTGGAGCTAGATTATACTATTTCAATACTGATCTAAGTAACTGTAATAGAGTGACCTCAATAAACCCCATATAGATGTATAAATAACGTTATTAAGTTCTTATACTAATACAACCTTGATCAGCCCTACAGCCTTAGTCCCCTCGAAGTCTACCCACCACAGTCTGGAAGTGGTTATTAGCCTGTTGACTAGTATTAGCCCTACATGATTAATTTACTTGGAACCTAAAGAATTTAAGCTTAATTAACTGACCAGGCGCTACACAACCTCACGCAGCTGTGGCAGTCTAAACACAACCGCATTCTAGACCACATCCACTTCACATCCCCTATATATCCCGAGCCATAATGGCATATCCTAGGCCTCGTTTCAATCGGCGATTGATGATGGCGTGGTTCGTGAGCATCCATGTGAAGGTGACAAATGACATAATAGGATGTCAATGTGAATGCTCCCTTTCGGCCGATTGAATAGGAACTTTCTCTCGGACGATAAGATCATTTGTCGCCCGAGGCGAAAGTATGGTCGAATTACTGTCAGCTTAAATCACAGAATAAATGCTAGGATGTACGAAAAAAGATATCTTAAAGAAATAAACAGTATGTAGGTCTCTTAAGCTATCACTCTCCGTTCCCCGCAAAAGTGCGCGGGGAATGTGAGGGTTCGGGGGAGAAAACGAAGCGACTTTAATGTGGTTCGGGAAGCCGTTCATGGTTCTCGGCCGTAGTGGACCCGCCGAGGAACAGGTCCGATCTCGGCTACCAAATGACGTGATTTGAAGTTGACAGAAAAATCAAACATCAAAGGGGGAGGAAAAAAGTAAACAAAAAAAGGGGTTCACTGCTGAAGACTACAGGAGCAATGTACCATTTCGTAGAATACAATATACATGCGTTGTAAATCGTAATCGTCGCTAATTTTGAAGCTTGCATTATTTGGTTATCTCAAGAGAAGAAGTATAGTACACACGAGCTCCAGGCTCTTCTATTTAAGCCAACCCTTGGGACCGCCCCATTTGCCCTTGACCATGGCCTGGTAATACACCCAAGGGAAGAAGTCTTTCTTCAGATGATAGAATGCACGGCGTGGAGTGGCTTGGTCGAGACCGAACTTCCCAAACGTCTCCTTAGGCTGTCCGCCGTACTTGAATTCAGCCAAAAGGACCTTGCCGTACTCAGTCAACAGAGGGCATGACGTATAACCGTCGTAGGCTTCCTGGGGCTCCTTGCCCTCCATCGTGGAAAGCAAACCACGAACAAGGATGGGCGCTTGGGAAGTAATTGCCGCCGCCGTCTTGGCTGTGGGAAGACTGGAGCCATCACCAGCACCCCAGACGTTAGAGAATTTCTTGTGACGCATGGTGCCCTCATCGACATCAACAAAGCCAGCCTCGTTCGCCAGAGGGCTGTTCTTAACAAATGCATGGGGCCCCATTTTGGGTACAACGTGCAACAGATCGAACTGCTTCTTGACCTTCTCCTGTCCATCGAGACGAGCAAAAGTGGCTGTGTTGCCTTCGATAGCGACGAGGTCATGCTGGAAGAGTCCCTCGACGCCCCTCTCCTTCCGCAGAGCCTCGAGTGTAGCACTGTACTTAGGCACACCAAACATGGCCGGGAGAGCAGTAGCAAAGCTGATATTGATAGCAGAACTAGAAGGATTGCTAGGGTCGTACAGGCCGGCTCTCTTCCAATGGTCCAATGCAAGCCACATGACCTTTTGCGGCGCGCCTGCACATTTCACCACACCAGCAGGCTGTGTGAAAAGAGCAACACCTTTCTGAAGTTTTTGGACGGTGCGGAAGACTTTATCGCAAGTATCATAGCCATAGATAGTAGAGACGAGAGAGTCCGGGGACTCCAGAGCCTCGGGGAGACCCTCGATGCTGCCATAGTTAATGTTAATGCCGGGCACCACAACCAGCTGTTCATAGTTGACCTTGTCGCCATTGCTGAGAGTGACAAGGTTCTCCTCAGGGGAAAACGTGGACACGCCGTCGTTGTAGAATTTGAGCTTAGGATCAATCAGACTGTTCATGGGTCTGCGCAGCTCCTCCTTGGTTTTAAGACCACCGCCAACCAAAGTCCATCCGGGCTGATAATGATGCCACGCTGCCGGGTCGACAACAGCAATATCATCTTGAGTAAATTTGCCAGATTGAAGAAGCTGATGGCTGATGGACAGACCAGCAGCACCACCACCAACTACCACGACCTTGTGGTTTTGAGAAACAGAGCTCACTGGTGAAGCTGTTGCGAAGTTCCGTGCAGCTGGAACTTTTTGAGCAGCAGCGCAAGCTGCCGACGCTACTCGAGTGCGGAACATGTCTAGAAGATGAATGGGGAGCGATGAAAAGTGATAATTAGTTTTTAGAGAAAATCAAAGGAGAAAAGGCTAGATCACTTTATAAAAAAGTGACCTTCGGTGGTGAATTGGAGTAACACCGAGGAGCGATGGATAAGATTATCCAAGAAAGGTGGGACAAGTTTGATCGCCGACTGCTCTTTATGTACCTGACAGCACGTGGACCGGTCGGCGAAGAATCGGACGGTCGCAGCGCTTGCCACCTCCAGGATTGGGTGGACCCCGGGAACCCTAACGCGGGCAACCTTAAGTATCGTAACATCCCTTCTCTGTACATATGTCATACTTTCTCAATATCCATTATAATATAGCATCAATATGAGCTCCTTTAAAGCTTCCCAGGCTGCTTTGGCCTCAATTGGGCCAATGGCCAACTCGATCCGAGTCACAACTCTTGGGAGGCCGCTTCGTTCTCTTCGCCAACATGCCGAGAAGAGGGCCGCCTATACCACGAAAACCCACTATTCACCCATCAGTGTTGGTTCGCAAAGAGCTTCAATGCTAAGCAAGTTGGATGATAGACGCACCTTGTCATCTAAAAATACACGGTCTATACGTTCCGTTATCCCACAAGCCGTGGCCAAAGGCCGAGCTTCGTACAGCACGGAAGCCACTGCGGCCGGAGAGCCTACCATTCATGCCGTGTTTGAGACGAAGACAGGTACATGGCAATATGTGGTCGCTGACCCATCCTCTTCAGCTGCTGTCATAATCGATCCAGTGCTGGATTATGACCCAGCTAACCAAGCCGTTACCACTTCTGCCGCCGACTCACTGCTCTCACTGGTCAAGGAAAACGGTTACAAGGTCGACAGAATCTTGGAAACTCATGCCCATGCAGACCATCTCACTGCAGCGTCTTATCTCCAAGATCGCCTTACGCGGGAGCATGGGCACAAGCCGTCGATTGGCATTGGCAAACGTATCGGACAGGTGCAGAAATTATTCGGTCAGAGATACGCAGTTCCACCAGATGAATACAAAGTTGTTTTTGACACATTGTTTGACGACGATGAGACGTTCAAGATTGGAAATTTGGTAGCCACAGCCATGCACCTGCCTGGGCACACTCCAGATCATTTAGGTTACAAAGTTGGAGGTAAGGGTCTCACCAGAATTCTTTTCGAGTTGTCGATATACTGACAACGTTCAGATAATGTATTTTGTGGGGATTCTTTGTTCCACGCGGATATCGGTACTGCGCGTTGTGATTTCCCTGGCGGAAGTGCAAAAAGCCTCTTCAACTCCGGACGGAGACTTCTTAGCCTGCCGGACCATGTAAAAATCTGGACAGGCCACGATTATCCACCTGAGGATCGTACAGCCCCAATGCCTTGGATGAGCGTGCGGGATCATAAGAGCCAGAACAAGCACTTGAGAGACGGCATCACTGAGGAGGAGTTTGTGTCCCTGCGGCAAGAACGCGACGCAAAGTTGGCAGAGCCAAGATTGCTCCACCAATCACTTCAAATAAATATTCGGGCGGGACAACTTCCAAAGCCAACCGAAGCTGGGCATCGGATGCTTCACGTTCCGCTAAAGCTTAAAGATGTTAAGTGGTAAACGTCACTGGTATTTGTGAAAGATGGATTCGGGGTACGGTAGGAAGATATGAATGTTGCAACCAGGATATGGGTGCTAAGGCGTTAAATCGGAAACATATGAGGCTGCTGTTTCTATATCATAATGCGAGTTCTCTATTTATTCGGCAATGGACTAGGCAATCCAGAGTAATTGAGCTTCTCTTTTTGTAGGTTCTAATGTACAAGCCACTGTTAGGGGCTGGCCAAAGCAATTGATTAGTTGGTTTCAATCGATACAGATCACCGAGGAGTGCATGAGGCGGCGGACATTGATAGTGCCGTCCAGGTGAAATGTAAACCGAGAAAACTTCACGCTTACCATGCCGCCAATACCTTGAATGATGGCCCCGGAAAGTGAAAATATATCTACCTTGAATTTGTAGCGTTGAGTCTTCTCTCGTCTATCCGCAACCTTGGTTGACTTCATGACGGGTAGCTCACGATCGATGATCTTGACGCTCCGAAGAACAGCACAGCTCTACCGGTGATCTTGTGTAGCGAGGTATTGGGCATGGATTAAATATCAGTAAGAGATTTGCTGGCCGTTGACAGTGACAGTGTTCCAGAAGTGACCTCGTTAGAACTTGGCCTTCAGAGACGGGGTTCTTATACTATCTTTCTCATGATCAATTGCAAAGTCGGCTGGTGGATAGAGTCATGCTGACAGCCAATGAACAGAGTCAGCTCTTGAACTGATAATGGGCGGACCAACAGTACAGGGTAGTCTTCCGACATAAGCAACTTCAATAACAAGATAGCTGGACTGTATAACACATCTCTGGAGTTTGGAAAGACAAGAAGAATATAGATATGATATGAAAGTCCAATTGTGCCATAATAGATGCATTACGTTTATACAATCAAGTAAATTATTGATATCGGATAGAGATAGGCCGTTATACTATGTGAACGATGGTGGTCCGGGCCACTAAACTAAGTTTCTGGCGATCATTCACTATCTATCGCCGGGTCTGGCCAGATCTTACCGTCGTCATTTGACTTTCGATGCTTGGACTAAAAGGCTGATAGAGATAGAATCAAGGATGCAATTGCTCAACGCCCCATGGGGTTATCCAGTCCATCGGCGCCTAAACCGCATCCGGACACACCCAGACACCTTGGCCCGAAGGGGTTAAACTCACATGATCGGATTGTTCCGAAAAGGGCAATCCTATCCAGAATCCGGACGGCGACTAAGATTCCACTAGACCAAAACGAGCAAAAAGGACCCCATGACCGAGACCGGTATACTCACCCATCTACTACTCCGCACATCTTCTTGATATCCGTCGGCATACGGCCCGGCGGCTTCACGTCTATCGCGATGGAGGTTATACCTTATCTTGCACATACCTTCGAAAGAGCGGCGGGGAAGCGGCATCATAGCCGTGTTCTCCGTCCTGAGTCGATGCTATCGACGAATAAATAATGGCCTAGTCTCGACAGATGGGAATAGCGAACCAAGCATTTTCACATCATGGCGCCTACACAAAGAGTTGTTATTATCGGGGCTGGTATTGTGGGCACCAACATCGCTGACGAGCTGGTCTCGCGCGGATGGAAGGACATCACCGTTGTTGAGCAAGGCCCGTTGCATATGCCAGGCGGCTCAACATCACACGCCCCCGGCCTCGTGTTTCAAACCACACCTTCTAAGACCATGACCAATTTGGCCCGCTACACCGTTGAAAAGCTACTATCCCTCGAGTGCTTCAATCAAGTAGGTGGCCTGGAAGTGGCGACGACACCTGAGAGACTTGAAGACCTTAAACGCAAGCACGGCTATGCCTCGTCGTGGGGGATAGAGGCACGCCTCGTCGATGCTGAGGAATGTCTTAGGATTTATCCTCTCTTGAGTAAAGAAAAGGTACTTGGGGGTCTACACATCCCAAGTGACGGTCTAGCACTCGCCGCCCGTGCGACACAATTGCTTATCGAAAGAACCCGCAATGCTGGTGTCCGCTATCTCGAGTCTACGCCTGTCACCGGCATTGAACGAAGTGGTCGCCAGGTGACAGGAGTAAGGATACCCAGTGGGGTCATTCCTGCCGATATCATTATTTCTTGTGCTGGCTTCTGGGGTGTTGAAGTTGGCGCCATGGTTGGCGTACCGATTCCTTTGCTTCCACTAGCGCATCAGTATGCGAAAACAACCTCTGTGCCGGCTCTCGCTGGCCGTCCCATTAATGATCTTCCAAACGGACAAAACGCTGTACGACCTATCCTACGCCATCAGGACCATGATCTATATTTCCGGGAGCATGGCAGCCAGTATGGCATCGGCTACTATGGTCATCGTCCCATGCCAGTTGTCGCCGCATCGTTGGGATTAACCCCTAAGCATGTCGATGAGAAGAGTATGCCATCCCGGTTGGAGTTCACTAGCGAAGACTTCGACCCAGCCTGGAAGGAGACAAAGGAACTGTTGCCCGCTCTACGCGACACAGAAATTGCTGACGGCTTCAATGGAATTTTCTCTTTCACTCCGGATGGCGGTCCCCTCGTTGGACAAGCGCCGAATGTGGAGGGCTTCTATGTAGCCGAGGCGGTCTGGGTAACACATTCAGCTGGTGTTGCACGGGCTGTGGCAGAGGTACTCACAACAGGCCGGTCCCAGATCGATCTCTCCGAGTGCGAGCTCTCTCGTTTTGAAGAAATTCAACTCAGCCGTGACTACGTCAGCGAGACCTCGCAGCAGAATTTCGTCGAGATCTACGATATACTACACCCCATGCAACCGAAGGAGTCGCCCCGGAATCTTCGTGTTAGTCCCTTCTATAGCAGAGAGCGAGAGCTGGGTGCTTTCTTCCTCGAGCTCGGAGGATGGGAGCGTCCATTCTGGTACGAATCAAACGCAGAGCTGCTGAAGTATCTCCCGGCACAGTGGCAACCTGTCGGACGAGATGCCTGGTCAGCACAGTTCTACTCGCCTATTGCCGCAGTAGAAGCCTGGAAGACACGCAACGCAGTAGCCATGTACGATATGACTTCGTTTCACCGATTTGAGGTGTCCGGCCCCGGGTCAATCGATCTGCTCCAAAGGTTAACCACGGGCGATATCACTGCCAAGCCTGGGACCATCACCTACACTCTACTTCTGAATGATCACGGAGGCATCCGCAGCGACATTTTCGTGTCGAGGCTCGGTGAGAATGTTTTCCAGATTGGGGCGAACACGGCTACCGATCTGGAATATCTAGTTAGAGAGGGCCGTCGCCAAGGACAGCACACCCCGAGCCGATGGGTAGAGGTGCGTGAAATTACTGGTAGCACCTGTTGTATCGGGTTATGGGGTCCCCGCGCCCGGGATGTCATCAGTACCATCACCACAGATGACTTCTCCAACAAGGGACTGCCATACTTTGGCGTCAAGAGCGCAACTATCGCCGGAATCCCAGTCACGGTGTTCCGGAAGTCATACGTTGGGGAACTAGGCTGGGAGATTCAGACCAGCTCCCAATACGGCCAGCGATTGTGGGATGCAATCTGGCAGGCAGGCAAGTCTCACGGGCTCATCGCGGCCGGCCGTGCTGCCTTTAATGCTTTGCGATTGGAGAAGGGCTACCGAACCTGGGGCAGCGATATGACTACCGAACACAACCCGTATGAAGCAGGCGTTGCTTCCGCCATCAAGACGGACAAGAAGGAAAGCTATGTTGGGAAAGCTGCGATCCAACGTCTCTCAAAACAGGCACCCACAAGACGTCTGCGTTGCCTCACCGTCAATGATGGTCGTTCCATGGTGCTTGGTAAGGAGCCAGTATTCCTGAACGGTAAAGCTGTTGGCTATGTCACTAGCGCCGCATTCGGCTTCACGGTTCGAAAGCCGGTCGCGTATGCTTGGTTGCCCGCCAGCGCAACAGAGGGCCAGACAGTCGAGATCGAGTACTTTGGGCGGCGTATCCCAGCTACGGTCACAGCCGAGCCGCTGTACGACCCACAAATGAGCCGACTACATGCGAACGGCCCATCAGTGGTACCCGAGTTCCAGAAGCCCTTGAAGAACCTTCTGTAATGATAGTGACCTTCACGAACGATGAAATGATATTAGCGCTGTTTTGACTATGTTTATTGAATGCCGGATTGTACATGGGAATAAACCCGAAGGATGATGACCGGGTTATGCTGATAGAGTCGGCGCGAGAGCCGATCCATGTTCTATGTTTTACTGTTTCGCTTTTATGATTATTTATAGCGAGTATGGCGCGATGAATTCGCGTGTGATCAAGAGATACAAACAATATACACCAACATAACACCAGAGCCTTGAATTTTCAACAACGTGTATAATCCTGGTAATGTTCTAGAATATCAACAAGACTTCATTCTGAGCCTATTTTTGGAGGACTGGTGTGAGAAGTGTTTGCCATAGTTATTGCCATGTTCAATCGTACAATTGTATATAGTAGATCTCCCACGCGGTTGGTCTATATTAAGAACGCTAGACTCTGTACCTGAGGCTATACCGAGGGGGGTGAGGAGGTTCAACCCGTACCTGAAAATGTTAGCTCTCCACACGAAGGTCTTGGCATGCTTTATTTAGTTTTCGGCAGCGTGGATGCAGTTGGATGGATCTCGATGAAGCGTCATTGATCCGCATCTCCACCCGAAAGTGGCTGAGTTCTCGTTATCTTTCTTGGTCCTATTTTAGGCACGGGGCCCGTGCTTCGACCAGGAACGCTGTCTATACTAGCCTACTAGTTTTTATAGGTTGACTCCATATAAATATGTCCCGTAAAGAAGAGTTTACAGAGCGAGGATCGAGACTTGTCATGATCACGATCAACATGAGAAGATCTGGCGGCAACCAGGCGACTCAGAGTAATCGACCTAACAGACGGTCTCGGGTTGCCCTGGCCTGCGATATTTGTCGTTTGCGAAAGTCGCGGGTAAATTTATACCCCCGTCCATCGACCGCAAAGTGTAGGCTGACACTTCTCAGTGTGATGGCACACGCCCCAGCTGCTCTGCTTGCAGTCGCTTAGGGTTTGAGTGTGTATATACCACCCCAAACCATACCCAGAATGTTATCATTCAGAAGGAGTTCGTAACACTAGCTTAGTCCAACCGCAGGGCCATTATTTGTGGGGCTTATCATGTCCTAGGTATTTCCAAGCGCTGGAAGATCGTGTGAAGAGCATAGAGGAAACCCTAGCTACCATGAAGGATGATCTAGGGTCAGCGTCGACTTCTTCGCAGATATCCGACATTGAAGCTAAGCGCGCTATGAATGCCACAAACAACACAGTCCGACATATTGGGTTAGACTCCCTTATTGATGAAAAAGAACCTGGATTTCTTGGTATAGCTGTTTCCTTCCCTGCAAATGCCGGTCAGTTAACGGGTATGCAAAGGCCCTTCGTCAAACGACTACTTTCTGCGTTTTTTATGTCATGCCATTACACTGGGAAAGGATATGCCTATCATACCTCCCAGTACCATCGAGTCTAATGTGGATTTATACCAACCTCAATATCCGACCCCAGCCTCCGAAAGGATACGACCGTCGGCAGTAAATATCTTTGCACTCCCGTCAACCAACGAAATGACGGAGCTTGTGCAGAAGTTTTTTTTCGAAATTGGAATTTTGTTTCCATTCATATACCCGGTCACATTCCTGGAGACCTACAGTCATTTACTAAAGAATGGTTGCTTAAGTGTCAGCCGGAAATGGCTGGCACTGCTGAACCTCATTTTCGCCATGGTTAAACTATCTGTTATACCCAACCAGCAGTTCAATGAAACATATGTTGCCCAAGCCGACACTTGTTATCAAAGGGCACTGGAACTATATGGCGAGCAAATATTTAACAGTGAGAGTATCGGAGATGGTGAGTTGTCACCCTTTCCCCAAATCGCACGATACACGCTCATAGACCGCCTCAGTACAGTTCCTTCTTCTCCTAGGCCAGTATCTCCATGGGAGACATAAGCCTGGGCAGGCATGGACGGTGCATACCTTGGCTGTTAAGGCGGCTTTTAAACTTGGCCTCCACTCCCAGAATGCCTTGAGAGATATGCCTGCGCTGGCAAAGGAGGGGCGCAAGCGTACCTGGTATGGATGCGTCATGATCGACAGGTATATTTCCCGATTGATATCTATCTTCTTCAATTTCAAGTCTGGCAGACTAAAGAATCCGCACGATTCAGGGTATTGAGTATGACACTCGGAAGACCAGCTGCCATACCAGACTGCTACGTAAAGCTCGAACTGCCTGCGAACCATGAATGCATCGATACATCCACCATCATGGACAATACAACAGCTGATCTTAGCGTCTCCTGCCTCAATTGTACAATGTAAGTTCGCCGATGTAGCTGCCTGTACCCGTCGTGTTAAAGGAAATATCTAGTGCCCTATACAAACAACTAGCAAACATTATTGACATACTTTTCGACCACAACCTGGGCTCTGAAACGTCCTTGAGTATAAATGAGATAATTTCACATATTTCATTAATGGAGGATAACCTTTGTGCTTGGCAGATATCACTTCCCCACGGCCTAACCATTCTCTCAGCAGCAGGATTACGTGATGAGCAACAGGAGCCGATAACAAATGCGGAATTCTTCTCAAGAAAGTTCTCTGCCATGATTTCTCTGCGATACTACAGTATCCGTACGCTTCTCCATCGTCCAACATTGGCAAATATGATTCAAACAAACCGTCACACGGTCGAGAAACACGGTTCCAGGATGCTTCCCTTAGGTGGACTACACAGCTTGGAGATATGTACCGAGTCAGCATTGGCCACTATAGATATGATATATGAGTTAGTCCATGCCACTGATTGGCGAACTAAACTTTTGGAAGCCTGGTGGTTCTCGCTGCACTCTGGTACGTAAGCGCACCAGCAACCTGTTCGAGTCCCCTTTGTTTTTTCAATCTATTACAAGTATAGTTTTCAACGCGGCATTGGCTGTCATAGGAGTGCTGTGGCTTTGCAAATCAGACTATGTGTTGGGCCTGGCAATGGAACAGCTGGCAACAAAGGCGAGGTTTTACCCTGACCGTGCAATTGCAGTATTGTCTCAGCTCGTCCCTGGTGATCCCGTTACAGAACGATACCGGGACATTATTCAACAGTTAATAGAGCTTCTCAATGATCCTGCCGGTAAGATAGTGACATTCATATGATCATTTAAAATTCGCTAGTAGCTAACGTGTATGAGGGACAAGGGCAAGGTGACATGTTCCAGGACCAGCTGATATCATTACATGACCAAGATAGTACGGCGGAGATACTCAATCCTTTGTCTGACGAAAGCTATTATTCGATAAATAACATGTGTCTGGACGCCTCTACGACCATCGAGAATCTTCTGACACTATCAAGTGGAGCAGGCATGTTACCTAGTGATCAATGGCAGGGGCTTACTTCTACGCAGGGTTTTGATGCAGAAGGGCAATAATCAATGTATAAAATTATTCGATCTAGTAGATCAAAATAGCCTGAGAAACAAATTTATACTCCGAAATAAACAGGATCATACTTTGCGTAGATCTAGTTCAACGGACGCAGTGTATAAACTAGTGAGTCAAAAGTCTGAAGACAACTGGGAAAATCACAAAAAATGTAACAATTCTAAACTCGACCTTCTGAACGAATTTCAAGCTACAAATTCATTCGATAGAATCCCGACAGCAACATTTTGTATATCAGCCACGTACCCGATATACCGCTTAGAATCTGTGGGACATGAATATATTTTCAACAATATATCATCTCCTGAGGTATCAGCAGTTATAATATCTATTTTTAAATCATACCTACTGCGGGTATACACATATTTATATTCATCTGTAGAGCACTGGCTATTCTACTGAGGATTGAAGAATATTTTCTTAAACGACCGTCTTAGCCAACTAAAAACACACCGCAGATAATGAGTAACGACCATACTCCGGAATACACACTGTCGCGCGAATAAAGATCACGTAGCTATTGAAAATCCTGCACGATGATGATCGATGTTGAACAAATGCTATCCCTCGCGGTGACGTGCATGAGGTGCTTCCTAGTAGGATTGCCAGTGGTGCTGTGGCTCACACTCCAGATGCCTCATTGGTCGTATCGCGTTAAATAAATGTCGGGACAGGTCATATCGGCCACTTGTCACAACACACGTAATTCGAGCTGATTGTCTGTTGCCCCACTCGCTCAAGGAAAATTTGTTGCACCTACAGTATCTGGCCTTGTAGGGGGGGGCTTCCACCCCAACTTTTCAGCTAGCCACAGCGCGACAGGGTGTCCCTGTTGTTGGGTGCTGGGAGATGCATGCAGTAATCGCCAACAAATCAGATAGAGCGAGCGAATATTGGTTATATTTACTGATTGCTAGTGAATAATGATCGTCCATGCACGAGCCACAATCGACACCCCTTTATTAGACTAAGCAAATAACTAGTTTCCTATGGGCCGATCACAGTTTTATAATGGCATACCGTCCAGCTGTGCTCGATGTCCCTCTTTACTCATGTCAAACCAACCACGTACTTGAGTACGTCTTCCAAAATGATTCACTTCTACCCGAACTGCACGTTACCTCCTACTGCGGGTAGGTTTGTGGCAGCTCCTGATGTCCGGGGAACCCTGGACATAGTTTGGAGTTGTGGCTCGATTCTCATCCTCTCCTGCTGGTCCATCTTTCATCCGAATATTCCCCCTCAGTTCAAGCCCACACCGAAAGGCTGGCACAATACCCGGCGACACTTATTCCTCTTTTTCCAAAAGCTGAGGTGGGTGGTTAGTATCTTAGTGGCTCCAGAGATGATCATGACCAAGGCAATGTTGGACTTGACATCTGCCAAGGCGCTCCAAGTGCCCTTGCAAGAATTCGCAGAAAAGGATGGAGTCGACTGGAGTCTATCACATACATTTTTCGCCAACATGGGAGGCTTTCAGATCTGTTTTCCCCAGGACAACGAGCCAAACAGAAACGACCCAGAGACAAGCATCTTGTCCCAACCCAATCCGCGGTCTGTCCACCCACCACAAGGGAAAGAAGAATTTACAAAATCACTGTCTGATACTGCGGGAGGAAGTATATTGGGTGATAAGAGAGCATCCAGCCGGGATATCAGTCCTCATATATCAACCGACTCAACCGACGAGACCGGCTCCGTAAAACGCAAAACCAAAGCACGGAATCCCAACGATCTTAGCAACACTCGGAGGCGATATCGCCGGAGAATCCAACGTTTCAACCGTTTGTTTGGGGAAATGACATGGCAGCCAAACAGCCATCATACTACCATGAGTGAAGAAATGCTTTCCCAGTACAGTTCTATGGTCCGTGGAGCAAGTGTATACAACTCATCGTCTATCCAACATTATAATATTCTCGCCATGGAAGGTAGTGTGTGGGTTTTAAATGCGCCCCAGCTTCTTATGGCCCGACATTATGGTATTATTGAACGACTACCCAACATTACATGCCAGGAGATCGATGACAAAAACAAGGGTGATTCCCTTATTAAAGTCCTTGCAGTTGTTCAAATAATCTGGCTGATTGTCCAATTGATACTGCGATTCGCGTACCATAAATCAGCATCTCAATTGGAAATAATGACTGTGGCGTACGCAGTCTGTGCTTGCGTCACCTACTACATGCTTATCTACCAGCCGCAGAATGCCAATACGCCGGTTTGTATTTCTGCGCGTAAGCTCAAGTACGATATCCATCAACTCAAGGCGATTGTTGAGGTCGGCCCCTTACACTTCCTTCCATTCCTTGACTTTCAGCTCCCATGCATTCAATATAATTCTTTTCCATTTGTTGCAGACCCGAGGAAAGATCTTGTGAAAGTAAATCGCCAAACACAAAACTATATCTACCTCGGTATCTGTGTTGGCGCTCTTATTTTTGGCGTTGTGCATCTATTTGCGTGGAGCTTCCCATTCCCGACAGATGCCGAGAAACTTATATGGAGAATCTCTTCGTTTCTAACGGCCCTGTTGCCAGCGGCTCTCAATGCAATATGGTTGCTGGCAAACCGTGGCAACCGTGAAACAGAAATCCATAAACCATGGTATCTTACAATGGCTCTTGTTGGTATATCGATAATTGTTTTATGTCGACTGTTCATTTTTGCAGAGGCGTTTCGGTCATTGTACTTTCTCTCCCCTGAAGCGTTCTCCTCGACTTGGGCGTCAAATGCACCCCATGTTGGGTGAAACCAGGTAGGAAATGGTTTTGAACTGTTTCTTTCCCACGGATTGGAAGGAAAACCAGCCACGGGTTGACTTCAACATCTTGCTTAGCCTGAGCAGCAAAGCGCACCAACCATTATTTTGTTAAAGTCACAAAAGAGGAGCGATATTTTGGATGGCAATGCATTCTATAGTATGGCAAGTTAATCAAATCACATTTGATGGACTAAGGGATATATCGTCCTGTTCCCTTTTGCATGCCCTCAAGGCTTGCTGTTTGTAGATCCTTGATTTCGAATGCCGCCAATCCATGCTCTTTATGATTAAGGCCTTCATTGGTTGCCTAAGAGGGCAGTAACTGTGGATTATTTCACTAGGATTGTAAATCTATGCAAAGGCAACCAGACGACTCGAAAATTGCATTCTTCAAGAATTATCAACAAGCCGAGCTCGGATTTAATACCTTATTATGATCCACATTATTTGGACAACTGCAATACCTAACACAATAAATACTAACTCCAGAGGCGATGAAGGATTTATATACATACCAACCAGAGCAAGACCATAGCGCACGGATATAGGGCATGCAGTCTAATGAGTAGGGCTGCAGAATCTCCATTAGCGCCAAATGGCACGTAATAATAACTGTTAAAGAAGGAGAGTAGATAACTTTCTTAGTCTAGAACTTTCCAACACTTTAACTCCTGGGCGCATCCATGTAAGGCGTTTTTCCTTTTCCTTTTTTTTTTTTTTTTTTTTTTTTTTTTTTTTTTTTTTTTTTTTTTTTTTTTTTTTTTTTTTTTTTTTTTTTTTTTATTTTTTTTTTTTTTTTTTTTTTTTTTTTTTTTTTCTTTTTTTTTTTTTTTTTTTTTTTTTTTTTTTTTGGCAGCATTAAATATTATATCTTATCTTCGGGGTGAAGGTCCACTGCAACGAGATGGTTGTGCCAAGCATATATCGGGTGCCTTTAACATAAGCGCAGATCGTGAAAAGGGCGTCAAATAGGCTAAGACACAGTGATGCAAGATCTTACCTCGGCACATTTTTTGCTCTAGAAATTAAGCGGTACGGTATTGGCCACACATTGATGCCGATTTATTTTGTTTTTACCAAGAATATTTTCTTATAAGCCCTGTATATCAAGGCGAGAAAATAACAGAAGGGAATGGATAATAGCTAGCCCTAATTTCCCGTACACCTGTAGTGATGGTATAGAGTTTGAGGCAAATCAATGTGCTCTGAGTGAAGAATAAAACCAGCAAAATGCTGAACCCCAGCCTCGCCAGCGCGTACCAACACGTATATTCTCTTCGACCGTAACTTGAAGCCAATCAATCAAGGCCACGCAAGCCCACGCCTGGACAATGTGGATACCAAAATGACCGTTTCTTGGTCACGTTCCTCGTATCTCTTAGTTCATCTGATCATGATCCAATATCGTACACATCTTTAGTCCGTTTATCTCGCATTTTCTTTCTTCTTCCTTATCATATCTTCGCTTGTCCTGCATGTTTGTTAACCTCCGAGTAAGAGAATGGAAACTCTCGTCAGCTATGGTGTCACCTACCTAATAACGAACAATTCCACCCTAGCAACCGTCGTTGCGGCTGTCTACGGGCTCTTCCTCAAATCATCCACAAAGCGTCTCCCCGTCCGCGCGATTCTACTATGCCAATCACCGGAATACTCCTTGACCAAAACAGATATCGACGAATATTTATCTAGCTCGTACGGAAGAGATATTTGCGAGTGGTCATGCACACGCGCCTCCGTTGACGAAAATTACGAAGGACCAGCAAAGAAAGCGGTTCATGTATGACTAGCTATGCCGACTCGCTTGTCTCCTTGCCCATAAAAGGAGTTGACAGAGATCTGCATTATCCGCAGGGAAGGTGGCTAACTACCGAGTATCAGATTAATCTTGAGCACGAAAGCATGCTGTACGATGACACACTTCGTGAGCTTCCAATTCGTCAACTATGCAGACAGCTCGTTGGCTTGCATACGTTCAAAGAACACCGCTTCCGGATCGTGCCTGAACGGGCTGGCGAGGATGTAGATGATACCGGTCAGCTTTTTGGTGGCTGTCTGGTGTTGATGCATTTGAGGGATATATATGAACGATGTCTCCGGGATGATTCGGGTGACGATGGACGCTACCCTGAGTAAGTGAAGCGCGGTGGATTATCTCTTTGCGACATAACTGATCCTGGTAGGGAGAGATATATCAGTCTGTTTCAGAAGTTCGCAGACGAGTACGGGGCGTATATGGAGTCTCTGTCAGATGAACGGGTCGTTGAGATTCTTGGTGGTATTGATGATCCAAGGTTCGGGAGTATGCTCAATGAGCTTAGGAAAAGGTATACGAAGAGGGCGTTGAGGAAACAATGACTGTACGGTTATAATATATGTAAAGCATAGCTATGTTCGCTCATGAATCAAGAGCACCCTGAAGGAACATATTATTGGAGATTTCACAGGTGTGATCTGAAGTGTAGACTTGACAAGGATGATAGAAATGGTTATCGGCAGCTACCCCAGGGAGCTGAGCTTTTGGTGGAACTTACGGGGTGCTTGCGTTGGCTCGAGAGATCATATATCGGCTCTCACACACGTTAATGCTTGTCGCTAGACACTAACTTCTACTGCAGGAATTATTTAGGTATCCCATAGTAGTAAGGCCAATGAGGAGAAAAAGCGCGGAGACTTTTACTAATCACACCGGCTTGGCGCAATCCCCGTTGGGCTTCATTGGTTATGACGTCGGCCGACTTGATGCGACTTAGTAATGCCATGCAACCCTTCTAGAACATGCATCACTGTATCAGTGCCTATTTATATTGATGTCAGCCGTCTGGAATTCAGTCAATTCAATCACATCACTAAACGGGCCACCTTACTCGTCATACTTCATTTTCCACATTATCAGCATAGCAAACAGTCTCGACATGTTCTCACAAGCAAACAACCCACGAGTACCACGCGGGCCAGTCGAGGCTGAGATAGTATTTTTTGAAGACCCCGCTGATGGCTCCGCACCCTTCAATTACGTGGAGGAGCCACCGGAGGGACAGCCCCAGCGGAACTACAGTGATGTCTCACATAAAGTTCAAATTGCCGATATCCGAGGGCAAGAAGATCAGTTCACTTTAGACCACGACGCATTTCAAGTTCTACAAGGCATCCCTTCGAAAACTACATACGAGACGTTCAATTCCGACGATGCTGTGAAACAGTTATATTACCCCGAGGTGGAAAAGCTACTCCTGGACAAGATTCCCGGGGCCCACAAAATCATCATATTTGACCACACCATCCGACGAGCCGATCCCAACGCGTCACGCCAACCCGTCCAGCGAGCACATGGGGACCAGACTAGATGGTCCGCAGCCCAGCGAGTCCGTCGACATGTTACTGACCCAGAAGAAGCCGAAAAGCTGCTTCAGGGGCGGTATCGTATTATCAACGTCTGGAGGCCAATAAATGGCGCGGTTGAATCGTTCCCCCTGGCTTTTGCCAAAGCTGCGTCTTTGGGCGACACGGATTTCGCCAAGATTGAACATCGCTATCCTCACTTTAGTGGCGAGATTATGGGCGTGAGATACAATCCAAATGCAGAGTGGAAGTATCTTTCCGGGGTGGACGATAATGAAAGACTGCTTCTAAAGTGCTCGGATACGGAGGAGGGCATGGCAGAACGTGTACCTCACACTGCCTTCGTGGATCCTCGCACGGCCCCCGATGCCAAGGGGAGGGAAAGTATTGAAGTGAGGACCATCGTATTTGGATAGAGTGCACGAGATATAAACCAGTCTTACAGCGATCTTCTTAGCCTTGTTGCATAATCTGATTTTCTGATGATGAATATATATGACGTATCTCAATTTGTCTAGCTGGAATATACCCTGTCTTTTATTTATTCCTCTTGAACCTTAGGCAATATTGTTTCATTACCCCATTGCCGTTGTTGAACGTCATTTCTGAAACAGTCTAGCGTCTTATACATATCTGCCAAGTTACAGATTCATCGACTGGGCGTAAGGGTTATTTAAATCATGAAACGGTGAATGAAATCAGGGCATAATAATATACAGGGCACTACAAAGAGCCAAAATTGCAGCAAAAATCTTATGATGTTAAATACATTATATTTAATGTAAAGAGGCTACTGTGCACCAGCAAAGAACCTGACCCATCTATATATTCTCCTTACAAACCCGTCGACTCTTCGATCTCACGATCCTGATCAGCGAAAATCTTCTTAACAGAAGGCCTCCCGCTCAGCTTCTTAAACCACGCCGCAGCATGAGGGAAATCCATATCCAATTTCTCCGCATCCGTCGCATACTTCGACGCCCAGCGTTGCCAAGGCATAAAGCATAGATCGACATAGGTGCACTTATCCCCAACCAACCACTCTCTGTTCTTTAAAACAGAGTCTAGGACACCAGTCACACGACGGATCTCATTTCCATACCGCTCAATGACACTAGGGAGACGTTCCGGATGGGCGCGGTTGAACCAGCCTGCCTGTCCGTAGTACGGGCCTTGACCTGACATTTGGAAATGCAGCCATGCCTTGGTTTCGTATTTGGCAGCAAAGCCCGTGTAGCTGAGTTTGTGTTCAGTGTCGTAGTTATCGAGAAGGTATTCCACGATCGCACCGGATTCCCAGAGAGTAATGTCTTTGTTGGGGTCTTCGATGGCAGGGAGACGGCCGTTCGGGTTCAGCTTGATAAATGGTTCTTTTTTGACGTCTTGAAAGCTCACAAAGTGGGTTTTGTATGGAAGGTTTAGCTCTTCGAGGATGATGGCTACCTTCCAGGGGTTTGGGCCGTACGGATGAGAGTAGAGGATGATGGGTTGCATTTTCAGGATGTTTTCCGTGGAAGCACTTTGGTTGGATAGACTTATTGCTTTGATTGCTGTTAGGCAATACTACAATCATATGGCTGAAACTACTATTTATCTCTTCAAGTCTGTTTCCAAGTTGTTCTTGGTGCTGTGCTACAAGTCGTTCTGTTAGGGCTATGCGTGGGCCGGATGCCTCATTTGGCAAATTTTTATGAGACATCGGCGAGCTCCACAAGAGCTTTACCATCGTGATATGCTAGCAACATGGTGTCCATGTGGGCCAGTAGCTAAAGCTGGGTTACTATTGTACAAATCATTATCGCTCTCGCTCCAGTTAGACATTTTATAAGAATGACAGTATGGGCCATTGCGTATATGAGGGTCGGCGTCTGGTGGGACCACTTCGGCGTTTGCGCATATGCCGAAGTCACCGACTTGTCAGATCCACTTGGTATACAGTTCGGCGTGTCTACTATTCCTTGATCCTAGACCACTATAGGTTTAGTCAATCTCAAAGCATGTTTTGTGCAAAATAACTCATGAAGTGTTATGAACCTTTCATTAGAGGCCATATTGTGACAGTATGCGGTAGGGTAGACTCGAGTTCTTTTCAACTTCGTTTCTAAATATTGACGCCCGGTACAGGAAAGTGTTTAAGATTTTCTTTGACTCATAGTCTTATCTATGATCATCTGTATCTTTGATACCGATGATAGCCGAGTCAGTCCACGCAAGCTTTGCAATTCACACGCTATGATATATACTTGTACGGCCTCACATTGCGGTATGCTGCATCCCAGTTCTACGTGAACACCATGCCAACAATGCCCGACGACAGCCTTGCCACCCAGGCACTCCATGCTGACAATGGCCTAGACGGAGAATCAGATATTGCCCCGCCAATTCATCTCAGCACAACCTTCCGGTATCTGTACAATGCGGACCAAGAGGAATCTCTACCCGGGCCAGCAGTATGTCACCCAGTAGCAATCCTCCATCACCCATACACAAACACAATGGCATGAACACTAACAGACACAGCTCGGGAGCTTCTGTTACTCCCGAGACCGCACTCCGACGCGCACCCGGCTAGAAACAGTCTTATCCGCACTCATCCGCGGCCCAACACTAACCTACGCCTCCGGTCTGGCCGCGGTGCATGCATACCTCGTATTTCTCAAACCGAAGCGCATAGCCATCGGCGACGGGTACTACGGCAGTCGCCAGGTAGCCACTCTGCACCAACAGCTGACGGGCTGTGAAATTCTGCGACTCGACCAGCTCGATGCTCTCGAAGAAGGCGACGTAATCCACCTCGAAACGCCAATTAACCCAACAGGAGAAGCACTCAGTATCCGACGGTTTGCAGACGAGGCTCACAAACGCGGAGCATACCTGGTAATTGACTCGACGTTCGGCCCGCCAGGTCTCCAGGATCCGTTTGCGCTGGGCGCAGACATCATAATGCACAGTGGGACCAAGTATTTCGGTGGTCATCATGATCTTCTGTGCGGGACGTTGTCGATCCCGCCTGCGAGGGAAGAAACGTGGTTCAAGACTTTACATGAACAGCGGACTATTCTCGGTAGTGTGCTTGGTAGCATAGAGGTGTGGCTTGGCCTGCGGAGTCTTCGGACGCTGGAGTTGCGGGTACAGCGGCAGAGTGAGAATGCTATGGCTTTAGCTCGCTGGCTCGATGAGTGCTTGAAGAGCGAGGCTGATAATGTGGTTAAGAAGACCGTCGCTGCTGTGAGACATGCGAGTCTCCAGGAGAGGGATATGGATTGGTTGCGGGAACAGATGCCGAATGGCTTTGGGCCGGTGTTTGCTATTGAGATGAAGACGGAGGAGATGAATCGTGAATTGACGGGCTTGTTGCGTCTGTTCCAACACGCGACTAGCCTTGGTAGTGTGGAGAGTCAGATCGAATGGAGGAAGCTGGTGGATGCATCGGCGAAGCCGACACTTCTTCGGGTTAGTGTTGGGGTGGAGTATTTGGAGGATCTGAAGAGAGACTTGTTTCATGGATTTGAGGGGTTGATTAAGGATTGACATTGGGCAGAGCTTTCAAGAAAGCTAGAAAGAAATCTTCAGTTGGGACTTGGGGGATCTATGGCAGCTCTTGTGGCTAGCGAGTTGGATTGAACCCTCTCTGTTCGGGTTTGTGGCTTTTAGTTGGAGGTGATAATGAATTAACAACCTTGAAGCCATGCTAGCTCCTTTAAATATTCGGTATTCGGTATGGTAAGCTTCAGATCAGTGCGTAAGTCTTGATAGATCTTCTACCTGACAACAGTAGCCCGAGTATATCTACGTCTAACTACAGCACCCTCAAGCCCACAAAGTCAGGCCCATAGGACGTGAATCCATTCTCACCATCCTCATTTCCGATGATAACATCATTGTCACCATCCTTCCACCCCTCGGTCAATACCCCAATCGTCGCCGCATCCCACCACCCTTTGCCAGGCCCAAACAACTCGCTATGCTGACCACTCAAGGGGACCTCGACTCTGACTGGTTTGTTACCATTAACGCTGACGGTCAGGTTTCTCGAGTTGGAACCCCAATCCCAGGATGAGTCAAATGCAACCTCATTATTGATGTAGTCGATTGCCAGATACTTCGTTCCGGCAGTGGCGGGGATCACAGCCCGAGCTGTGCTGTTCGCACTGATGTTCCCTATCTTAGAGCCAATTGGCTGACAATATCCCGCGCCACAGGAGACAGATTGTGCATCCCCGGTTGTCGTGAAGACAGTATTCGGGTAATATGTGCCATTGGGAGGGGTGATTATGATTGACTCGACGGACTGCGAGGATGTCACTGTAATGGAGTTCGATGATCCAGCTACAAGGGCTATCTGTGCAGATGCCTCTTTGCCCGATGCTGAGACCTGTGCCGTAATTGTCCTATTACTTGCCGTCGATTGTATTCTCACATTTTCAGAGGAGCCCTCGCCGGATAGTTTTACTGTGATGTTGTACTTGGTACTTGTGGTGACACCGTAGATCGATTTAAATGTGGTCGAAGACCTGATAGCAGCGTTAGATTAGCACTAAACATAAGGCATTGGGCCATCACTCACCCAGCTGATGTAGCGAACGTGTCGCTCAGATATTGTCCGGAAGGTGCAGTATCCTGAAGCTCGAGCAGTATCGTTCCGTGGCCCTCGACCCTTGCTGTATAAGAGGTCTTAACATCTTGAGCGGTAGAGCTATCCCAGATATTCTTCACCGTGCCAGCGTACTGTAGCCCAATATCAGGGAGATCCAGAGTAAGATCCCTCGACTCGTTCTTCCAATTGATCAAAGCCGCTACAGTACGGTCACCGGATAACGGCCCACTCCATACTTCATAGCCTTCATCTGACCAGCGTCGCCGGAGACTGGCACTCACACCCAGTGAATCCTGATTGTAACCAATCACATCTTCCTGTTTCAATATCTGCACGGACTCATCGCCTATGACAGTCTTATCATCCTTCAATGCAGCTCCGATAGTCAAGGGACTCTTGAGAATCGCCCAGAGAGAAAAGTGAGTCTGTTCTTCTGGAATTGAGAATATACCGTTGCCCACCAAAAGCATATCCAGATCGGGCCATTGGCCAGGTCCAGCAAAGCTAGTTTGAGGCACAGCTTGGTTCAACGTTCTGAAGATCGACCTCCAGTGTGGGATGATATCATTGCCGATTCTCCACGAGTGCCCTAGCGCGGGTGCCCACAGTGCTGGGAAATCAATCCCCCATTCACAAACCTGGAAAAGGATGGAGCGGTTCTGCGCGGCTAGGGCGCGCGACATGATTTCGAATCTTGCCTGCGGCGACGTGCCCGGTTCGTAGTTTACGTTTGGATAGTCCGTCGCGGCGTCGGAATAGCAGTTATCATCTGCACCCATATAACATTAGTAGCTGACGGTGCGAAGAGGGAAATCACCGCACATTTCAGCGAGTCAGCCCCCCAAGATGCAAAAGTCTTAGCGTCTTGCTCCTCGTGGTCTATCAAAAAGCTATTAGCATTTGGTGATTAAGCATCTTGGAAACACATACATAGACTGCCGACATTATCGGGAGGACTCCCGCACAGCTTGATTCCCGAATCTCCATAAACCCCGAAAAGAAGGTCGAGGTCGTGAAGGTACTTCCCCAGTGCGGGAAAGCCTTCCGGGAACAAGGTCTCATTCCAGGTCAAGGATCCGTCAGGCAGTCGATCCGCAACGGTCCACCCACAGTCGGTGGTGACATACCGATACCCTAGCGAGGCTAATCCTAAATCGACCAAGGCCTGGGCGTTAGAGCGTACGATAGATTCGTTTGGGGAACATGAGTAGTGGTTGTATGTGTTCCACCTGCATTGTCAGCTTCACTCAAGCTATAAGGGTTACCGATTCATACCCCATCTGAGGCGTCCGGGCAAGCCCATTGTCCAACCGCGATTGCAGGCGCGGATGCCCCAGCGCCACTGGCAGCAAAGACAGATAAAAAATATTGGGTACCATTCTGGTAAGGCATTGTGCAGAATCCTGGTATGGGATCAGCCGCAGTAGAAATAGTCTGGAGCAACATAGTATGATGGTCTGATGGTAATCTAGGGTTCCCCGCCCCCACACCGACGGGTGCGGAGACATGATGGACTCATATCATCTATTCTGCAGGACGTTGTAGTTCGTGGTGTGCTGATTGGAGGGAAAACCAATGTGGGCATCGGGAATTTGCCTTTTCGGGATTGTAGATTAGGATTCACGGTTTGTTGTGCCAGGACAGATCAACATCCACTCCTTGTGGTAGGAGAGAACTCTCCAGTTTAGGCTAGATTGATCTACTTACTGGATATGGAAGTAAAAAGACAATCTTGACTTCTAATCAGCTAACACAATTGTACGAGCTTTCTTGTGGGAAATGGTTCTATGCCAAATGACATACCCGTCCAATGATATCTTTCATAGGCGCACCTACCACAACGCGCGAGCTGGTCTGATGTTACCGGAAATGGCACGAGCACGTAGTAGTACAGGATAGGTGCTAAAGTACTGTTCATTGCCGGTTATTATAAGGTGAACACTAGCACCCTCCACTGAAAGATGACACTGAGGGGGCAATAAGAAAAATCACAGCATGATAGTAAATGGTCGCAGAATTGATATCCTTGAGTTAGTTCTGGGGCACAAAACCAAGACCCAGTCTAACCATTCTGAAGTCCTGTCCATAGTGTTAGGGCATGCGAGGTCATGCTTACTGCTTCATCGGAAGGCACACCTACATCGAATTCAATTCGCATAGCAACCACATTGGACTCAACGCTCAGATCACACATGCAACAAGTGTTTGGGACTGTCCCTATCCATGAACGGCCTGTTGCATTGGTTTTCAACTTAATAGCGTGAACTTCTTCCCTCGACCACGCTATCTTGATACGTTGGAAGGGTCCGATATCTCGTATTATACGGTCCCGAGAGCTAATGTATCCTATTTTCACCGTTTCAGCTTCCCCAATGAATTCCATACCCGTTATGCAGGTTTTGCGCGTATCCCCGAGAACGGACACCGCGATTTGCTTCAAGGAATGTGGAAGTGAAAAGTATCTACTATAGGTGACTGTGGTGCCGTAAACATCAGAACCCAAGAAAGACTGAGAAAGGGGTAGATACTGCCAAAGCAAGTCAGTCATGGCTCTGTAGCATTCTACGCCCGGAAGCGAGAGCCTAGTGTCCATGAAACCACTAATCAAACGGCAACGCCACCAGATATCTCGCCTCTCGCACAGCCTTTGTGACAAAACTGTCTCATGTGTACAGTAATATAAGAGGTGCCAGTTTCCTCTTCGTGATATTTTTGGGTGACTCCCGTCGGGAGAACCGAGAAAATAGCGATCGCCGTGATATTCAAATCGAGTTTTCCAAAAGGATTGACTAAAGAAAATTCTGCCCATAGATCGAGATGCAAGACGAAGATTATAAAAATCGGACGTGGGTAGGTACGACGCGATCTCCTGGCGGAGCTCTTGAGGCAAGGTGTGGAAGACATCTGCATTTCCTTCAGTACGCGCTTTTTGCAGCCTGCGCACCCTAATACTTCGCTTCGGTAGAGGGTTAGGAGCCGGCAAAAGGTTCGGGAATTCGACCACTTCTGATGGTGACTGATGCTCCGATTGGAAATGCCCAGTTGGAGTGGGAGGCGGCCTCAAAATGCGTAGAGCCTCATATACCTGTGTCAGGGATATTGGCCTTCGCAGGTGCGCCTCCAGAATCTTCCAGCAAGCATCATGCATTAACAACACCTGCAAGGCAGTGCTTCCGAGTCTGAGTACCACGTTATTCCGAGATATAGGATCCTCCAGGGGTTCTTGGGATTGGACTGTCAGATTAACGTAATAGGCGCCGACTGAGTAATTTCGATGGTCGCAATGTCAGAGAGCCAGACACTTTTCCCAGCCTTATACACTGTATAGCCATCAGTTGCGATCTAAGGTATACCATGTAAGAGACAATGAGAATCTTCTCGGTCCCTTAAACCCTGCTTATTGGAGGTCATACCAGCTCGAAATGTGTCGAACCAAAAGCCCCGTCTCCTCGAGTCAATGGGTTTATTGCATATTGTACAGTCCATCACGTTGATTCGAGGCGGATCAGTCAGGTGTAATGAGGAGGCTGGTATAATAAAAAGAAGAGGTACTTGTTATGGACACCACTGATCCCTATGTATGTCAAGCAGACAAGGCAGTCGTACAGGTGACACCACTTGAAGCTGCAGGACTGTCGCCTGGTGTTTTCAAATCATTGCTATACCAGAATCACTGCTTGCAAGACCTTGCTCAGACGCTTGTGTCTTTACACTCTCACTGGTCTCTTCTTCCCCTCAACGTCTCTAATGACGCTCCTTTAAAGTCAGCAGGAAGTCCGGATACGTGGTGATGAGTTCAGTATGACCAACACCGCATATAAATTGCACTATGTTTTTCAACGTCACTCCCACTGAAGAAAGACCTTTCGGTTTAAGACTTCTACATTATCTTGGGAGGACATCTTCATGACGTCCTACAAAATCATTGCCGGTAAATGGGATAACGGTTGATGAATGAAGGATGAATCGGATATCCTCTCATCCAAACGACTCCAACACAAGACCCCCATGTCGATAGCTGTTGCGGCGGAATTCGAAAGACCTGTTGACAGCAACTAACCCAATGGCTAGAACTAGAGGACGCTGAGAAGTCGATCGTATCTATGGAAGAATGCTGAACCGGAGTGGTGGGGCTGGAAGATCTGGTGGCCAAGTACATCGGGTGGTTGCCAAGTGAAAGGGGGAGGATATATACGGAGGCTGATAGCGGCTACTCCACAACAACGGCTCTCCTCATGAGCCTCCGTAGATATAAGTAAATATGGAGGGACTTGCTGGTTTTGGTGATATCCACAGAGCCAACCCACAATATCGGCGCCTTGGGAATCGCACAGCCAGGCATAACCATCCTGGTGGCCTGTGCACCGAATCAAACCAGGATGTTAACTCACATGGCGAGTGGTAACCATCTTCAGCTGAAAGCTCAGCTGAGCTTAACATGATTATGTGGATAATATTTGACACAGACCGCCTTTGAACTCCATAAATATACTCTACGAAGGCAAGATGAACCAGCAAGAAATATCTATCATCCACTACTTGGAATCTTAAACCTCATGGTGCCCATGGAGCAATCGGAACTAATCTCCGCAAGGGTACTCCCAAGACCAGGCGCGAGGTTGTATATGAAGGACAGTCTCGTACAGAAAAATGTGAGACTCTCGATTGTCTCTGAAACCCACCATTTCTTCACTATCCCTTTCTCAACATCAAACATGAATAGCGTTGGCACCTTGGCCACAGAGGAGGCACCATCCACTCGGTTATATGGGGGTGAGGACATCGGTCTGTCCATATCCATATACAAGGGACAAGATATACAGTACAGTTATCAGGCAGAGTCAGCAACGGATCTGTGACATATGTAGCTAGATAGTAATAGACAGCAAGAGCTAATGGCAAGCGGATACTCACAGATAGCCCAAACTCTTAAGAAGTGAGTGCGAGTGCGAGTGACACTAGCAGTTAGCTGGAACGGGAGTGACGTGTGGCTACTAGGCTCACTGGAGACTACGACACGCATTAGGAGTGCGTAGTAGCCGTGTGAGACAACAATGACGCTACCAGTATGTTCTATAGGACCTGACCGGATTTTAGCATTAACTCCGTTTCGGAAACCCTTCAACCAGGAGCGGATCCCGGAAGGTCGCCTGTCCGAGGCTGCTTCCGGGTCCGATATTGATTCGGATCCACCGAGGTTAACAACTTTAAAGGTAGCCATCCATCATCTATCTTATATGACTTTTTGGTATAACCGCAGCGATGATACATCGGGTTGAACCTTTGTAGCAGACACGGCGTAAGCTCATACATAGGACACAATGGCATAATGTACTGGTGTGCATTTTAGTTGAGAGTTTCCCTGAGCCTATGTATATGTGAAGTCTAGACCATGCAATCCGCCGTTAAGCTTCTTGGCTCGAAATAGAGCGGTTCTATGTCGCTCAAATGTCTGAAACACAAAGTCTTAAGTCCGTTTACTTCCTGGATTTCCAGCCTTGGCTTTCCTTTTAGGGTTATATGGCTCTCAATTTCAATACTATAGAATGTCCGAGGTTAGTTTATAAGCGAGGGTGGCTTATTTGAAATATTCTAATCAGCAATCGACTCCCCGGTACCGGTGGTTCAATTGTACAGATATAAGGGGCTGAACTTCTTCGACTGGTTTAAAAAGCAAACCAGCACACTAAGCCTACTTAACTGAATCAGACATCCAGCTCTGCACACTCCCGCTCTACAATGCAGACACCCAAAACCATTCTTGTGACAGGGGCTTCCGGCTTCGTGGCCGCTCATATTATTGAAGCTTTTATTTCCGCCGGATATCATGTCAGAGGAACAGTACGCTCTGCAGCTACGGCGGAGAAAGTGAAGCGCACATTTCCACGATACGGCGAAGAGCTAAGCTTGGCCATCGTCCCGGACATTGTCGAAGATGGCGCCTTCGACGAAGCAGTGAAAGGTGTCGATGGAATCATGCATACGGCTTGTCCAGGCGCAAATGAAACAGAGAATAACAAGCGGGATATTGTGCAGCCTGCTATCAATGGCACTGTCAACATCCTCCAGTCCGCTCGAAAATACGCACCTCAGATCAAACGCATAGTCATTACCTCTTCCTTTGCTTCCATGATCGACATGTCCAAAGGTACGTGGCCCGGTCATGTATACTCCGAGAAAGACTGGAACCCCATGACCTACGAAGAGGCTGTGAGCGAAGGCACCACCAGTGTGCAAGCGTACCTTGCCGCGAAAAAGGTGGCAGAGCGTGCTGCGTGGAACTTTGTCAGAGACGAGAATACTTCCTTTGACCTCGTGACCATCTTGCCGCCTATGATCTACGGCCCTAATATCAACGCTACGCATGTGTCGCAATTGAATATCACCTCTGCTGATGTATACCGGCTGATGTCTCCGGACTCGAAGCCAAGTGGCTCCATACCTGACAATGGATTCTGGTCTTGGGTCGATGTGAGAGACGTTGCGCAGGCCCATTTGAAAGCGTACGAAGTTTCCGAGGCTGGTGGCGAACGTTTCTTCATTTGTGCTGGAAATTATAGTTATCAGCAAATTGCAGACATTTTGCGAGAGAACGTCCCTGAGGTGAAGGACCGTGTACCTCTTGGAAAGCCCGGATCGGAATTTGGGGATATTGAGTTATATACACCTGATGCCAGCAAATCCCAGAGAATACTTGGACTTCGGTATCGTGGTCTTGAGAAGAGTATTGTCGACTCGGCTTATACCTTTTTGGAGCTGGAGAAGCAGTCTAGATGAGTACTCACTTAATTGTATATAGTGGCCATTACAAGGAGCATTTATTTTTGAAATGATTGTTGTGTGGCATCTTAGAATCTTTTGATCTGAGCTACTTTGATTTCAGGTTCACTGATCGTGTACATTATCAATCCAAGGTTATGACATTGTAACAATTTACTATATGCCAGTTCACACTCGTTTGCAAGGGGTATAAGATTCACTTTTTGTGCAAAGCTTCGAGAATAAGGATTGTTCTGTACTAATCGTGCATGTAAATATTACAGATTTTAAAACATTTTTAACGTCGAATAATACTATTTCACCTGAACACCTACCTGTCCGCGTATCAACCTCGGAGAAGCCACACGCCTGGCAGGTTAGTAATTGGGTGAGTCACTGCCAGCAAAGATTTTCCGTTGTACACATGTGCATGTTCGCCGCCTTTTTGGCTTTTTTTTTTTTTTTTTTTTTTTTTTTTTTTTTTTTTTTTTTTTTTTTTTTTTTTTTTTTTTTTTTTTTTTTTTTTTTTTTTTTTTTTTTTTTT